CCAGAAAGAATTTCAACAGCCTTCCTTTTTTTCCCACCAGAGATAACCCCTTTGGATAAACTGTATAGTGATGAATGCCCACCAAAACCAAATACCCTGATGGGCCAGCCAGCTGAGCTTTGAAGATAGAACATTTATAATTAACAGCCCCCTTATGACAGATACAGACGGTAAGAATTAGGCAATCCTAGTCGTAAGATGATCAGTCGTGGCAATATCGGTGGTTATTGACCAAATATCCTGCGAGATCATCTTACAAGTGAATGCTTCTACGAGCTACGTCAACTTCCAACCAATAGACATGCAGTATGAAATGAGGCCCTGATCAGCGGGGTCATACAGGCACCAGAGCTGTCAAAAGCGTATGCTTACAATAATGCCACTTATGTCAAGCACTTTTTGCAACACCGGCATCCCAACTTGGCCTCTTTTCTCTCGCCATGTCCACATTATTCTAATCCTTTATCATATATAAGGAAAGAACACAAGCGTGGGGAGGGGCATGTCCTTGAGTAAATGTTATATAAGAGACATCAGATGTCCATCAAGGCTTCACAGCTTCAGGTGCTATACGTTGTCCAATTCATGGGGTGCAAATGGAGCGTATTAAGGGACAAAAGGTTACACAGTCATTTTGAAAGAAAGTCTGGAAGAATCTTCTGTTCCAAATATAGAGGAAGTCAAGTTCTTGTTTGATAGTCTTTGATCCAGCATACAGCATACTTTCAATCAGATTACAACTCCGTTTTTGAATTTGATATTGAGGGGGCAGTATTGACTTTTACTAAACACAAACTGGATAGAGTTGTTCATAGGTTGCAAGATAACTGGGTAATTGATGTGCGGTGTATATGATATTATACCCTGAGTTTAACTCACAGGATAAGAGCAAACTCGTGTAAACTCTGTCATCAAAATATCTGCTATTATCTTCAGGGCAAGGTAGAAAACCTGTGAACTACAAAATGCATCACATCTTCAGCATTCAGGTGCATAAAGCTCCTGTGGGGTTTTAGTTGATAATGAGCCTGACTAAACTGATGCCATAAGATATACTGTTAGACAGTGACAAGACAGCAGAATATTTGTTTTTTCTTTTCTGTGTCAGAATATGTCTTACTTAGGTACATGATCAGCAAAGAGATAAGAGCCACTGCTTTGGTTGCTAAGATTGTCAAAAATTAAACATTTGTCACTGTTGCTCTAACTAGCTCTGAAATCATTTATTTTCATTGTGCTACTGAACATGCAGAACACTGTATGAAATATGTTGAACCCATGTGCATTCAAAGTACATAGAGAGGCTATTTAGCTGAAATTTTGTGTGCTTTCAGGACCAATATGTAACTCTGACGCCTAACGTTTAAAATGGGTACTGCAGTCCAATCTCAAAACAACGGGGCAAGACACTTAACCCCAAATTGCTCCTGCTGCTTCGTCGGCGGCGTATGAATGTGTATGAATGTGATTAGTTACTTCTGATGGTCTGACTACATAGCAACCTCTGCCGTGAATGTGTGAAATGCGGTGTAAAGGCGCTTCAGAAGACTAGAAAAGCACTATACAAGCTCAAGTCCATTTACCTTTTACCATTCATGTCGCAGACACTTTATCCAGCCCTGCATCGGTCTTGAGTCCTTTCTGCTTTCTGCCGCTGAACAACGACGGCACACTGCTCTCGTCTTGCCAACGTCTCTTTGTCCATTATTGTGGGAATGGGGAGGGAGGGTGTTCATTCTACCATGCTGCAGGTTGTGCTCCCACACAGACGCGCCTCCCCCTCCCCCTTTTGCGACGCAGGGCTGTTGGAGCGGGATCATTGCTGAAAATGACAACGAAACTTAAGAGTAAGTCCTTAAAAAGAATCTCGGTTAATGCAACTGTTCAAACCGACAGGGCTCGAGGAACTAATCATCTGCAGGTTGCACAGTTTATGTTTGAACTTTTTAACAAGTTATTAAGTAAAAGCATACCAGCGGCCGCAGCCTTCCTCCACCCTGAGGTGTGCTTCCTCTTTGTGGTCTGTGTGGGAACACAGATTAAAACGTTTTTGTTCCGCGCGTACTCGGATCGATCCGCATGCGGACCGGACCGAAGGCCCTTTACCGAAATGGTCCGGTCCGAGTACGTGTACCTTTACACCCCTTCCTTTAACATCAAAGAAAGGCTGCAAAAATATCTAATTGGTTCTACTGCTGGAATCTAGTTTCTCTAGAGGTGAGTTAGCGGTAACATTTCCTTGTTTACTGGAATCACCAGATTAACCTCATGCTGAAAGGTATTTAAAGATGTCAGAAAGCTGGAGAAACAAAAACACATCGTCTTCTAATTTATTTTTTGATGCCACTTTATGCGTCCTCAAAGTTCCTGACCAAATCTTATTAACATGGAAATTCCCATGGGCGCTAACACGGCTTCAATTTCATTTGCCATGTCTGTATTTATTTAAACAACACGGGCTATTGGTGTGAAAATGAATTGCTGCGTCAGATTGGAAACTCCTTGGGGCGGCCGTGGCTCAGCAGTAGAGTAATCTCTCAACTGGAAGGCCCAAGCTCCTGCAACCACGTCGATGTGTCCTTGCAGCAAGACACACTGACCCCTAAGTTGCTCCAGCTGTCGTCTGCAGCTTGTGGTTTTGAATGGATTAGTTAATACTGATGGACACTTTAGGGAGCAGTCTGCCATCAGTGTGTGAATGTGGTGTGAATGGGGTAAAAAAGCAGTCAACTTAGAAGAGTCCACTTATCATTTTCCATTTACCTTAGCTTTTGTGCCAAGATGCTACAGTATGAGCTGGGTGTATAGATAGGGCCCTAAATGTGGGTTCCAAAACAATTAAGGTCATCACAAGAATTGCTGTTCTGTAAGTTAGTCTGTTCTATCAATTTGGGCCATTAGAGGAATTCAATAGTTTATTAAGAACAGGATCCAGTCCAGTTCTTATGAGAAACCTGGAGTTGTGATTATGTAAAGGAGAGTGTAAGCAAGTTCTCCTCCACACTCAGTAAAGTCCCACCTCTCTGTTTTTTATTGCATGCAGTTCAGAGAAAATGTTCTATTGAAAGAGTTTCACAGAATAATCCAGATGTTCAACAGTTACAACAGTTGCCAGTTTAACTAGGATATGTTTGGATTTTGTTGTAGCATTTATTTTGTTTTGTGCTAGAACAATTTATTGGGCGACTTTGCAAGAAACAACTGTTCACAGATGGAAAAACCTGAAAAAAAAAACAAGCTCCACTTTGCTGACATTCTTTACTAGAGTTAATCTGTGGCTTCAGATTCCAACAATGAAACACACTCAGATTGTATTATTGTCTGTGCTCAACACTAACCAAAATATAAAATATGACCTTTTACTAAAACTTTACTTTTCACCGTAAATACCCAATTTCTGTCTGCACTGTCAAGAACGTCAAAAGCATTTTACTCCCAATGTGTTCAAAGGGGAAAAATGCACACGGTGTCGCTGAACATTTACAAGCAACAGTCACGACGCTGACCTTCAGACACACTAGTTGAACTGTCAGGTTGACTTAACTCCTGTTAAAGATTTGGGAAAGTAGACAAGGTGGTGGAAAGAGAAATGTCCTGGTAAGTAAGGTGACAAGAAAGAGATGTTCACTGAAAAGGTCACATCATTTACATCATTACCTCCTGGAGGCATGTGGAAGTGGTACATTAGTGTCTGCCCGCACAGAATGGATGCCAGCACTCCTTCCTCTGTCCAAACATATCCATTCCAATGGACAAGTGTGTGTGTTTTTCTGTGTGTGAGTGTGTACATCTGCTTTGGTATCTGACACTCTCAGACAGCCAGTAGCATGGCTCAGTGAGAAAGATGGCGTGATCACTGGACCATCACTTGCCTTATCCTTCCACACGCACGCACACACACACACACACACACACACACACACACACACACACACACACACACACACACACACACACACACACACACACACCATCACCTATCCATGCCTGTAAGCACATGCACACACTCAAACACTCACATACATACGTACATACATATATATATATAAATTCACCACATATTTTTTTGCAGAGGATAATTTAAGAAGTGTTCCAGAGTCTTTGACCAGAACTTGTGTTAAAGCACAGAAACCTCCTCAGGGAGCAGAGGGAAAGCATGTGTTTCGACAAGGTGGACAGCTGGTTGTTGTTTTTTTGTTCACAGTGTTTGTTTTTAGCTTATTTTGATTTCTGATTGAAGAAATTAATTTTCAAGCTCAGCCTTCAAGTCAATATAGATAAAAGCCTTAGAGGTCAAAGTATTTGCTAGAATCGCACTTATCATCTCAACTATTTATCATACTCATACAGCTACAAAATGTATGTTATTTTGGAAAATCGGTAAACAATTCCATCAAACATTTTGTCATTCTGGGAATTGTTGGTAATTTGCAAAAATGAAAGGTTTAATTAAAGGTACTACAACTTTTGTATCATAAATGTTTCATTTTTAATATCTGGGAATCATGATTTCAAATAAATCCAGCAGAGCTTCCACCGTTGATAATTGAAAATTAATAGTTCAAGTTACAGAAGAAGTTTTTTGATGAAAACTGATGCTTATTTACAAATCAATCAGAATGATTTCTCAACCTCAATGAAATGCATTTTTACATTTCTCCCACAATTGAAAATACATACAATTTATGCCCAAATCCTGACCACAGCTTCAACTTTGAAATCTGAATATATTGGGGACCATTTTTTTTTTTTTAAAGATATGTATTTTTTTGTTTACGAGAAGTTCCTTAATCAGCTAAACAGTTTATTGTAGTTTTGATCCAGGGATGCAGCAATGTTTACTGCAATACTTAATTAATATGCTGTCTGTATCCAGGTCAACTTGAATAATGAAAAGACTAAACATTTTTCTTCCTTCTCCAAAACCTCTTTTATCATCTTTCCTCTCATCTTCCTTCCTCCACCCTCCTCCTCCTGTCTCCCACTTTCCCTTCATTTAGATTTCTGTCCAACACATCATTCGAGGGCCAGAGTGGGTTTATATCCAAAAACACTAACAGCCAGAAAGTTATGTCAGAGTCGCATCACTACATCTGGTCCCTTCAGCTGGACCCCCTGGGCCAGCCAACCTGGACTCGCCTGGGACGGTGGAGACGGGGGAATGTTCTAATGGACCAGGGAGCCTGGCCAATCCATCATGGTTCTGGGGGCGGCGGTGACTGGCGTCGATCCACGCGGCTTCACATGCGGGTGGTAACTCTGGTGGAGCACCCGTTTGTATTTACTCGTGAGGTGGATGGGGATGGGTTGTGTCCTGCAGGCCAGTTGTGCCTCGACCCTCTGACCAATGACTCTTCAGTTTTGGCCAGACTTTTCAAGAACCTTTCAGGGCGCAATGTATCTGTTCCAACAGAGCATAAGAAGTGCTGTTATGGATACTGCGTTGACCTGCTGGAGAAGCTGGCAGAGGACATGGGATTCACTTTTGACCTTTACATTGTTGGTGATGGGAAGTACGGGGGGTTCAAGAATGGTCGCTGGACAGGATTGGTGGGTGATCTGCTCAGTGGCGCTGCCCACCTGGCAGTGACTTCTTTTAGCATTAATTCAGCCAGAAGCCAAGTTATTGACTTCACCTCACCCTTTTTCTCCACCAGCCTTGGAATTCTGGTCAGTACCGCTCGTTTTCTCACTTTCGATTTTTTTCCCCCCATCTTTTAATATTGCTTTTTCTCTTTTTTATTCCTACGTGTTATATGTCTCACTTCTGTAACTTTTTTGGCCATCTTTTTCTGCTCTCTGTCATTGACCTCACCTCAACTCTCTTCTCTTGGTATGCTGGTGGTCAGTATCAATATGGCAGAGGTTTATTACTGCAGGCCCTACCTTATTATATGCATTATATTGCAGTTCCTCTGTATGGTTTGGACGGGTGAATGTACAGATTGTGGGTTGACCGCCTCACTACAATTACTTTATCCATTCTCCCTGACTGATGAACCAAAGGATAGTGGAAATGACTCTCCTCTCTTTAACTGCCACTATAGGGGAGAATGATCTTTTTTATTTACAGTAATGAACTCTTATATCATTAGTTTGTTTTATTTGATTGTTTTTCCAATTCTACTTTAAGTATCTCTCTCCAAGATATCATACTAAGTGCACATCTGCCATTGGATTTGCATTTGCTACCAGTGCACTGTTGGCTCATAAAACAAATGTTGTCTAATTAATGTGAGGCTACTGGATTTGTGTCGTGTTTTTGCAATAACTTTTCAATCATTTTAGTATCCTATCTAAACTCCTGATTCTGATTTATGTCCTCACTGAAATAAATGTATGATCATTAACGGAATTGTCAATCACCACCTAAACCCAACACTGATACTGCAGCATATAAACAACAAAAAGGTAATAGTCAGTTTATAAGAATTTTAAATCCTTTCAAACCCCCCCTGTATTGTCTTTTTTTCTCCACTCACACAGATGATTACGGCAGACTATTTTGATAAATTGTGGATAAAAAGACTCACAGGCAAGAAAGGGTAGGATAGACAAACTCAGGTAAAACAGGAAGCTATTGTAGTGGTTAGAACAGAGGATTGGTTTGTGAATAGAGAAAGGGCTGGTCAGGTAGAACAGGGGAAGAGGTTATGACAACTCTATGAAATCTGATAATGTCACCAAAATCATATCCTTATTTATTTTCCAATCCTGTGTTCCTTCTTGCCCAGGTTCGGACTCGTGATACAGCAGCCCCCATTGGTGCCTTCATGTGGCCTCTCCACTGGTCCATGTGGCTCGGCATCTTTGTCTCCCTCCACGTCACAGCTGTTTTCCTCACCCTGTATGAGTGGCACAGCCCATTTGGTATGACACCACGAGGACGCAACCGCGACCGGGTGTTCTCCTTCTCATCAGCGCTCAATGTGTGCTACGCTATTCTTTTTGGGAGAACAGTGGCTATCAAGCCACCTAAGTGCTGGACAGGCCGTCTGCTGATGAATCTCTGGGCCATCTTTTGTCTGTTCTGTCTGTCCACCTACACTGCAAATCTAGCTGCTGTCATGGTTGGGGAGAAAACCTATGAGCAACTGTCGGGGATACATGACCCAAAGGTATGAAAGTGACATGCTGATAACAGGGATTAAATAAGAAACTTATAGTCTCAATCACCTTTAAATCAGCATAGAACTCCTTCATTTAAATAATCTTTTCTACTAAAAACATCTTTATGAAATAAGATATTTCTACATTTCATTCAAACAGACAGACAGACAGACAGACAGACAGACAGACAGACAGACAGACAGACAGTCAGACAGACAGACAGACAGACAGACAGACAGTCAGACAGGCGGACAGTCAGACAGACAGACAGACAGACAGACAGACAGACAGTCAAACATACAGACAGACAGACAGGCAGACAGACAGGCGGACAGTCAGACAGACAGACAGACAGACAGTCAGACAGAGAGACAGAGACAGACAGACAGACAGACAGACAGACAGACAGACAGTCAGACAGTCAGTCAGACAGACAGACAGACAGACAGACAGACAGTCAGACAGGCGGACAGTCAGACAGACAGACAGACAGACAGACAGACAGTCAAACATACAGACAGACAGACAGGCAGACAGACAGGCGGACAGTCAGACAGACAGACAGACAGACAGTCAGACAGAGAGACAGAGACAGACAGACAGACAGACAGTCAGAGAGACAGAGACAGACAGACAGACAGACAGTCAGACAGAGAGACAGACAGAGGGACAGTCAGACAGACAGACAGTCAGACAGAGAGACAGACAGAGAGACAGACAGACAGACAGACAGACAGACAGACAGACAGACAGACAGACAGACAGACAGTCAGACAGACAGACAGACAAGTGCTTTTTTAAGTTTTTTGGATAATCTTGCGAGGTCCATGATTATCACTTTAAACTGCAGGCTACAAATTTTGTTAATCTTTTAAACTTTAATTAAACAAGTTAATTCCTGAATTGATCAATGTTTTCATAGCAATTGAGCCAGGGTGATTTATGTAGTTTGTCAACTCACCTATTCTCAAAATCAGAAGTGTGGCGCAAGACATAATGAAAGTATGTTTCCAAAAAGAAAAGAAAAGACTTAAAACACCAACTAAAGAAAAGAGAATAGAAACAACAGACAGAAATGACTTGTATCAATAGTAATCAATATTCATGCGCTTTGAAAGTATTCTAAAGGTAACATTTGGGTTCATTCTTCTTTCTTGCAGTTGCACCATCCCTCTCAGGGATTTCGATTTGCCACAGTGAGAGAAAGCAGTGCAGAGGACTATCTCAAAAAGAGTTTCCCTGAGATGCATGAGTACATGAGAAGATACAATGTCCCAGCAACACCAGATGGCATACATAATCTCAAGTAAGGCAATTTTATACTATACATATTGCCACTGACATTATGCATTCAGGTACACACGCATGAGAGGGCCTGCTTTGTATGTTCATCGCTGTAGTCGTCACTAAGCCTGTAACAACTGTCATCTGTCCCCTTATATTTACTTCCTATTCAACAAGTTATCTCTTGCTGTCATCATTAGCCGAAAGAGAGTTGAAAAAACAATACAAAAATAGATCATCTCTAGAAAAAAAGTGAAGTTGTTGTGTACGTCCAAAAGAAGACAGAATTTGAAAAAAACAAAATGCTGTCATTCTCCTGTTTGCATTCACATCTCACACTCCTCCTTACCCTGCCATTGCTGTCAGCCTAAGCTGCTTCAACATTCTACTGGCATCCCCACGGAGCCTCGCAGAATATAGGAGAAAAAAGCAGCTGGAATGCAGGCCGAGGCTGGGTAGAACACAATTTCAACGAAATTTCAACGACGAAACAAGATTTTTTTACTGTGCTTGTGAAATGATTAGAGGGTTCAAGGGAATTGTAATCTTTAGAAAATTACAACTGGTGAACATGACACTTTACAACGCCATACAAGTACAAGTGTGCTGAATTGCAACTTTGCTCAAGGTTAACTTCCCAAGGCGACCAGGAATGAGTGACTGGATACTTTAATCTCACATAATGAAAAATATGTTAAAGGTAATTTACGGTTGAAGTGATCGCATGGTTTCAGAGCAGAGACGTTTTATGTTTTACTCCAAGTAGTTTCTTCAATTGTTTCAAAGGGATTTTAATTTGTTTCGTGATCATATTTTCATCATGACAATATTTTTTTTATTATGATTGATTTAATTAAGAATGTTGAATCAACAGGGATTTTACTTGTAAAAGAATATCACTTAAATTTGAACCCCACTTTTTAGGGTGTATTTTTGTCAATTCTGTTTTAACCATATTGCTATAGCTCCATTCTCACCACAGCAATTAGTACTAACAAAAGCTAACAGCAGTCTCCCTGCTCCCTGGCATTATCAGCCATCACACATTTCTTGTACTATTTTGTCTGGCCTATTAAAATAATAGACTCTAGTATATGCCTTGATATAAGTTTCACATAACACAGAACAACATTTTTTTTCCCCAAGGGCATTTCAAACCTGATTGCTAGCAGATCCTTCATCATGATGCAAAGACTCTCTCCTGTTCAACCTCAGAGATTCAACATCATTGGAACTGCTGTGTCTTACACTGCATTGTATTAAAGTGCCATTGAGCTGGCAATACATGATTCCACTACTTTTACCAGCATAACTGCATGGAGACAATGCAGAAAAGGGGGCCTTGTGCTGTAATAATATTGGTTGGGGAATTGGTAGGTGGCATGGTAGTAATCCCATTTTAAAACATAATATCATTGGTGGGAAAGCGTGAGGACAGTAAGCTGCAGTCTGATTCATCCCGTTATAATGCACAGCCAGGTTGTGCTCAGCAGATAGTGGTGGGGTTTCAAACACTATCCTTGATAAGGGGTGACAAATAAAGACTATCTTAAAAAAGGCTTTGAAGAATTTATATTCAGGTAGGCTTTAGTTGTCAGTAAAGACATTCAGAGTTGATTTGTTAAAACCTTGCTGAGAGTGTTGTGAGTTAATATGTCTCCTCTGTATAAGAGACTTGGAAGAAGAGATGTGAGTAAATTGCCCGAAACAGGCAGTAATTTCACCAGCATGTGACCAGTTAAAGTATTGGAAAATGATGTGTAAGACCAACTTGGCGAAAAATCAGCTTCGGACAAAGCAATGTTGAGAGATTTTACAATTTTCTGTGATTGCACTCTGAAAAGCTCTATAAAGTACTCAGAAGCACAAAGCAAACCAACTCAACAGCTTCCATTGTCGCGTTGTGTTCCTGCAGCATTTTTGGATTGGTTTCTTTGTCAGTTATTGGACTTTGTTTGTTTCAAGTCTTAAACACTAAACATGCAGTGGCCCAAATGTGCTACCAACAATTTCTCATTCCAGGTTGTCAAATACCAACGCCCTGTCGAACTCCTTTCTTGCCCAAAGCAATTACAATGGTATAGCGTCAGCTCTCTTCCTGCATGGTTAACATCACACCATCTGTTTGGTTCAGCAGAAAAGCTACATCACAGTTACAAACAACATAAGAGTTGTTTAAATCTCAAAACCAATCAGCTCATTGTCCATCATTGTCTGATTGATATTATATGCCTCTGGGAGCAGATGCACATTTTTCATTAATTCTGGTGAAGCCAGTGGTTAGCGTTAAACAACTTCCAGGCAAGACGTCATTTTCCATGTGGCATGTCCGTCTGCACAGGAAAAAAAAGAAGGAATTTCTTGGTCCATAATATCCCAGAGTTACGCCTGTTTCATCTGTTGAGTCTCAGTGCAACAGTAGAGTACAAGTTACACAGAGGCTTCACTCTGGCTCACTTCAGCTTCACTCTGGCTCACTTCAGCTTCACTCTGGCTCACTTCAGCATTATGAGCTGAAAAAGGAATTGTAATTTACTCACTGTTAACAAAAAATACATTCGCTAAAATTTGATACTTTTTTTTTTTGAGGTAGTCAGGAAATCTAATCGCTGATGGTTTTTTTCGTGACGCAGTGTCAGACAGATTTGTGTCACAAAAGTAAAAGGTTTGATCTGGAATTGATTGTTAGCTGTACTTTTAAGAAGATAAATGTTAAGAGACAAATAAGTTATCGGTAGAATGCCGCCCATGGGAGTTGGTATGTCAAAAAAGTTTTGCCTGGTTTATCGTGCAACACAGACTTTTTTTCCTGCATTTTCTGCCAATATGTAAATGGTCAATACAGCTCAAAATACACATTTTCTAAAAGATGGAAACAAGAACACTTCACAGGCTGTGGGCTGTGGCTCAGTTGGTAGAGTCGTCATCTCTCAACCGGAATGTCCGATGTTTCCCTGGGCACGACATGGGCATGCATGACAAGAGACAATACACTAATGATACAACACAAGAGACAATTACAGTGAGCACAGGCCAGAAAAGGGGTTAGTTACTTCTGATGGTCTCACTAGCAACCACTGCCATCAGTGTCTGAATGGGTGTGAATGGGTAGGTGTGACATGCAGTGTAAAAGCGCTTTAGTAGTCAGTACACAAAGCATCCATTACAAAGTCCATTACCATTTACCATTACAGTCTTAAAAACCAGATCCCTGTATACTGATTCTACAGTTCTATGTATAATCTGCAAATAAAGATTACAGTTGAATGATGGCTGTTCTCATGCAGAAGCTGAAGGTTACTTTGTGTGCCCATATTAGTCCAAGAAAGATGTGAAGGAAATGTTTTTCTTTCATGCCCTGGTAGAGAGAATACTATTGGTGTTTTTATCTGTTCAACTTTACCTTTTGAGCCTGACAAAACACAAACTGTTCTTATACTTCCACTTGCACTGTAAGGTCAGAGGCGTGACATGAGGACACAAACTGAGAAAAGAAAAGGGTCAGAGTAGCAGACCGCGATAGAGGGGACCATGTTAGGTAAAATTCTGTCTGTCTCAGGAGGTGTTAAGGATACATTTTTTATGTGCAATTCAGAGGGTTGTTTTAAAAATGCAAGTTTTTGGGGCTGGTTCCCAGCAGGCATAAAGAATTTGTTGTGTTAGTGCTACAGTAACATTTGTCCCTACAATGCATTTGTGAGAGTAACTATGGATTAGATCCAGTCCATCTATCATGTTGTCTGTCCAGTCATCCATCAGATGGTCACTTAAGGAACATTTCAGGCCAACAGTCTGCTCTAACATCATTCACTTATCATCACACACCTTGTCTGAAATGAACTACTGTGAGTATATTTTGTTGTTTAACCAATGAGAGAATGGACTGAAGGCCAGGCAGATTGAGACTCAGGATGCAGGTTCTGTCTCAGGCGTAATTCTACACGAGCTTATCTTGGCCCAGACTGTAACTAAGATTAGACAAACAAGATGAAGGGATGAGGAAAAAAGGTTGTATGGCTGAGCGGAGAGGAAAGGAAGAACTGAGACAAACAGAGTGGAGTGGAATAGCTAGGTAGAAGTAGGCTTGTCAGCAGACTGGAGGTATGGTTTAGGCATGGTCCTGCTCCAGAACCTCAGTTAATATACACACTTAGAAACACCTTGTTGTATAGAGTGCATGAAGCAAAGGTGCCACTTATTTTTGCTACATCTGCATTTTCAGTCAATTCCAATATATCTACCTTCTGTGTGTTTACAGGGCTGACCCTCAGAAACTGGATGCATTCATTATGGACAAAGCTCTACTGGATTATGAAGTCTCCATCGATGCAGACTGCAAGACACTAACAGTTGGAAAACCCTTTGCAATTGAAGGTAACATGACAATTTAAAAATACAATTCATCATATTTAACCTTATTTGACAAAGAGGTCCCTTGAGATACAGATCTCCTTTTCAATAGAGTAATGGCCATGATGGCAATATGCTTCAAAGTAAAGAAAACATCAATTAGATCATGCCAAAACAGACATGACAGCATAAAAAAGGACTTCAAAACAAAAACAAGTAGCTCAGATACATTGAACAAACTCAGTTTCGGAATAACAATTTAAATCTTTAGTTACACAGTTTTAGTTCAGAGCTTTGAACTCTCTCAGGCAGACAAAATCATTAAACTGTTGTGTGTGTACTGAGAGTTATTTCATGACCAGGGCACAAACTAGGGGAAAGCTGCTCCACCAGATTCTTTATGAAGCCTCAGTACTTGGTAGAGCTGCCATTTATTGTAGCAAAAATCATTACAGCTGTTGATGAGTTACAGGAGATTGATTCAAAGAATGCCAAGGGGGGTTTCAGTATGGCTTGGTAAATGGAAATTTACCAATCATCTTCTTAGGCTTAATGAAGACCAAGAAACTAAGACATGAAGAACAAAGCGACGTGTATGGGACATTATGTTGTCTATAAAACACAAAGCACTCAAAGCAGTAAAGTGTAGAAGAAAGCTGCATGTATTTCATTATGTCCACGTTTTCTAATATACTTAGGATATGTTTTTTATGAGAATTTTTCTATCTGCTAATTAAGACTCTTTGATAAAACCACACTTCCAGCCCTTTAGTTTATTCATTACTAATTATTCAGAGGTTGCATTTAACCTATTAAACATAGATGTGGGGCTTTTCTCCTCACTGATTTGCTGACTGATAAATAAGAGTAGTGGTTGTTAAGAATATTTAAATCAAAGTAGTAACCAGTCAGTAATAGATAAAAAGTAATTTGAGTTCTTTCACCACAACAGCATATGTTTCTTTTTTAATTATCAGTAGATTTGAAGGGTTCTGTTTGCATGGCTGCATTGTAGCTGACCATTAGCATTTTAGGACAACCCTAAGTTTAACAATATCAAACACACAACTTTGAACAACTTTTAATCTTCAAGCTTTCAACGGCTTTAGAGCCTCTATTGTCTGTTAATCTCTTGCCCATTTAGAAAGTCTCTTCCTTCCTCTGTGAAGACATTCCCATGGCGGTTGCTCCCATTACAGGACACAATAGTCTCAGATTCCAGTGCTGTTGTTAATTACTTAATGCACACTTGAGCCTTTAGGATACAAATCATTCAGTATATTTCCTACCAAAGCATGCTTCTTCTTTAATTGGCTCTCACTGATGTTGTCACACTTTCCTGGCATGATAAAACATTCTGAGATTTAATTGCAATGTCAAAAACCCTCTCTGTTTTAGAGCAACAATGCTGCTTTCCAATAAGCACTGGCAAAAATGAACCAGGCTTCCTGTTTTTCTGTGGGTGTTTTACTTTTGTGTCTTGTGCACAGCTAGAAACCAGTGATTGAAAATAATGGCAGTTCGTGGAGGTGAAGTGAAAATGATTTTGCTGTTCTGACAGAGGAATAATGACTCTGTCTATTTCCACTGGCAGGTTATGGGATTGGCCTCCCTCAGAACTCTCCACTCACCTCAAACTTCTCGGCGCTTGTTAGTCAGTACAAGTCAGATGGCTTCATGGACATGCTGCATGACAAATGGTACAAGGTTGTGCCCTGCGGGAAGCGCAGTTTCGCTGTGACTGAGGTAGGAGCAGAACCACATGTTACACTGTTTTTATTTTATTGTGATAGAAAATTAAATGACATAGAATTTTGACATACCGTTTTTATCTATCACCAGCCATAGCTTTAACCATATGCTGAATCATCAGTTTTATGGTTCAACATAGGCATGACTGGTGTTTTTAGTTTCTGCTTGCAAATAATACAAAGATAAAAAAAAACGTTTAAAGCTGCACAATTCAATACATCTTGTGTTCATTTTGTCTCTAATTATTATTACAAACAATACAAAACCTTGTCTAACCTATCTTTTGTGAAAAATAGCCCACCAAACTTTTCACTTAATTTAAAGTTTTAATGTCTCATTGTTTTGGTTTCCGGTCTGCAACCCTTTAGTTTCATCTCACTGCCTTCATCATCCTGTTCTCCAGTCGCAGCAGGCAGCTGTTTCCAGCCAAAAAGCAGTTAGTTACAAGCACATCAGAGCTCAGTTAGTTTTGTTTCTTCCTGTTTTACATTGTGCAGCACTTAAGCGCTAAAAAGGCAGGAAATTCCTCAAGGAGTTTATAGAGGAAAAGGTAAGAGTGACTACTGAACATGTTTGTTTAATGGAAACACAACTGTAAATTATTTTAAAGCTGTTATGGGATGTGTTAATCTTTACACATCTGTCAAAACAACTTTACAAGGAACATCTTTGTTGTATTTACATCTTGTTTCATGGCCCCCAAGAGACAGAAACATGATATATTTCTGCAGTATTACGAAGCTTTACAGAGTAAAAGAATCATGCCATTGTAAAGTTACAGTCTGTATTGTTACATTTAAAATACGTTTCAAATGTTCATTTGAGTTTCCCATCATTGTAGAAGTATGCAAAGCCCTTGAAAGCACCAATACAAGAATGCTGCTTCTCTCTAACCACTGTTTAAGCTGTTTACTTTCCCTGTACTACCTCCATGTTTAGTCATGTCTTGCTACTTCACACCCTGGCCCCAGACCGTCCAGCTGCCAACCAAGCCATGTCATCCATAACTTCGGCCTTAAACAGTCCAGTCCATTCTGTGCAGCTATTACTAAGCACTTAGCTCTCCTAGCAGCCTGGCTGTCTCTCAACCCAGCTGTGGCTCTGGAATCCCCAAAAGTGTCTCCTTTGCTCACTGCAGACTGCAGACTCCCTGTTGTCAGACATGAATTAAAAACTTACTTCCAAAAAGAATTCATGTCCCTCCTCTGCCCCAGCTTCTTCCTATATTTATACTTTTCTATTCCATTATTTATTTTACTTAGCTACTCTATGACCTTTTACATAATTTAACAGCAGCCTGTGCATTATGATGTTTCATTGAGGAGCACGTATTGTGTACATTGGAATGACAGCTTTAACCAAAAAAAAAAACCTGACACATAAATGTAAACAAACATCCGCATTGTTGATCTGTGTAGCAGAAGCAGTACATTGCAGTGCAACTGATTCAGTGCAGCTAAATCATTTCCCACTGTGTAATAGATAGATGTGTTATAGATGCTATCTACAGGTGCAGACATTTAAATTGCTCCAGGTACATTTCATTCTGCAGTGTCATGCCAGCACCTTCCTACACTGGTAGCAGTGAAAGCTGCTTAACCATTATTTTTCATCCCTTGATTTTATACTGTATGTACCAACATAACTTGTGTATCATTCATAATCCAGAGTATGCTAATTGTGTGCACACTTCTGCATGGTCAAAGCAACCTACATTGGTCTTTAAACTTCCATGTACAGCTTCATCTTCACATAAAAAATCTGTTGTCTTTTGGCTCAGTCAGAATAGGCTGTCAATATGAACTCATCAGGAAATTCATGTGATGTTAGCATTATGAATTTCTGACTAGGCTGGCTCAGTTCAACCCTGCTCAGCATTTTTTAAGCAATCTTTTTATTCCACCGAATGACTGCTGCACCAGCAGCAAGCCTGGGATTCTGAAAAGAGGAAAATCTGATGGATTGTCTTCTTTGAGGAAGCCAAACTCTCTGGCACTTAGCCAGCTCTCTGTCACCCCAAAGAAGACGATCCCATTAAAAGCAATACAATCAATACCAATAAATGACATATTATCCAATTACCTAACACTGAAAGGGCCAATCTCAACATCACCAAGAGATAAATAGTGATCAAAGTGATGGACATTATGTGTTTTGTTAAAATCTTTGCAGAAACTGTTTGCAATGAGATATTAGTGCATTGAACAAAGTATGGTTAAAACATGAAAGTGGAGTTGTGAATTACAAGATCACTAAAAATGTATTTTTCTATAGGGTCCATATATGGAAGTGTGTGTATTGCCAAAACTAGTAATAGTATGTACTTAAATGTTCTGATCCAAGGAGTGCCCATAACTGTGAGAAATGTCAGGATGCCGTGATACACAATAACTTGCGCTGCTTCTTATGCACTGGAGCTAAGTATTAGATTAGATTACTGTCATGTATCCTAGTAAGCATGTCTTGTTGTTAAAGGATAAAACCACCGTATGTTTTATCTGTTCCGATCCAAATTAATTCCTAAATTTCCTCCCCAGATGTAAGATGCCACTTCTAGCTCACACTCTAAAATTGCATTACAGCCAGCTCACCAAGTCACACAACTGCGATGAGGAGTTTAATCCATCATGCATTTTTTTCCCAACATGACTTTATAATGCAATCATTGCAGCGGCTGCTGTACTCATACTCAGCAGTAAAAGGATTTATATGAAAATGTAAATCTGCAATAAATAAAGCAGATGCTCAATTGGGAACTGAATGATGCGCAATAGTAGATTTTTTAATTTTCCATATTAATTATATCGTATTTCAGATGTTAAATTCTCTGAAAGTCTTTAGTTCCTCATTAAAACACAATGCTGATTCAGAATTTTACGTTCATTGCTGTTTTTTACTTTGGGGATTCTTTTATCCTGTAAATGATTCAGGTTGGGGAAGATAATCCCTTGCTCACAGTGTAATTTACAGAGTGAAAGCAAACCTGGGCAACATTCTCCTTAAACTGGTTTTCTAGAAGTAAGTTTTCACAACTGCAGAGACAGGGATGGTGGTGTTATAAAGTCAAGGGGCGGAAAAATATCCCGATACATTAAAATCGTAAATGCAGATGTCTGTTTCTACAAAAACAAAAAATGTGAATAGGTGGCTCCTGATGTTGCACAGAATTACTGTAAGTTATTCATGATTTGTCAGGGGAAAAAAAGAAAAAAGGCATTACAGTTATCATTTAAGTGTTAGCTGGAGAGAAAAATGCATACAGTCAAAAAGCTAATCTGTTAGCATACAACCAAAAATATGCATGCTTGACTAAGATAAGGAAACAGAAACCCATGCAGAATGAGTTTCTGTCCTTTAAATTGTTATTTAAAAACATATATAACACAAAGAGTAGATTGAAAATAGCAAGATGACATTAGGAAATAATCAAAACACTATATTTATGAGAAAACATCAGTTTTATAACCGTAGTGCATACATTAGTCATGTTGCCAACTACTGTATCATAAAGTATTAATAGAGCTTGCATGGTCAATACGCCTCAGTTGTGAATGTTTTGACTTTTCTAACACCATGCAGCAAAACCTGTGGGACCTTTTATGTTTCCACTATTTTACTTCCTGTCCTACCTATCTACTTCCTGGTGCAGTATACCTAATTGTTCATTCTCTGAGTCTCCTTTCTTTCTTCCTATTTCTCATTCTGTTCTCTCCAGACGCTGCAGATGGGCATTAAGCATTTCTCCGGTCTGTTTGTGATGCTCTGTGTGGGCGTGGCCTTATCCCTACTGACCACAATTGCAGAACATATTGTGTACAAGCTGGTCATCCCAAGGGTCAAGGAGCCACGCTTCAAATACTGGCTGCACACTAGCCAGGTATGAAACTCGCGCGCAAACACACACAAATACAACAGAATGGAGCGTCTCTTTAATCAAGAGTTTTCAACATAATAAATAACCCAAAACACTTTAAATAATCTAAAGGCCACATGTCTTTTTGCAACAAAGTATACTTACCAGCACTGTTCTTATTTTGTGTATTTAGACTGTGACACATTTTTGGTTGCTGTTTACCCTCCCTTTTTCTTTACTCCCTCCTCTGTCTTGACTGCATGCAGTCAACACACAGCCATTTTAACATTAAAAAAAGTTATAGTGAAACTGACAAATTATGAACTGTAAAGAATGTAACAAGAAATGTGTTCCTTGTCTTCCAGAGATTACACCGTGCGCTCAACTCCGTCTTCAATGATGACAAACTACCAACTGTAACCAAGCCTGAGAAGAGGTACCGACTAAATCGAGTAGACACGCACATCACTGTAATATATTCACTTTAAATGTTACGTTTTTAAGAATCTGATCAGCGTAAAATCTCGTCCCTAAATGACCAAACTGAATAGAAACTGATCCAAGTTGTGTTTAAATTACTTATGAACCATTAAGTCCATTTTGTTTTGACTGTGGATTTAGGCTTATTAAAACTCTTGTCACACAAGGGCACATCAGAAATGGGCACCCAACTGACCTAAAAAACTCCTCTGAGAGTGCTTTCAAAGCACTTCATCACTCACCAAATTCAATTCATTTTCTTTGAATAAATAAATCTTACTTAATCACAAACAGTACATAAACTCGTACAATTACTTAGAAAGGAGTAGATGTCATGCTTGATTCAGAGGTATCAACAAATCACATCGCTGAGATATCACATATCATCCCAGATGTTGAAGCCTCTAAAGAAAAAAGCAGAGACAGTCTTCTAAAACTCAACAGCCCATTGGTTGGATTAACAGGCTGAGAATAGGTGACATCAATTAAAATTCAAGTGGCAGTTAATGGACCTATTTTTAATCAGAAAACCAAACAGAATGGTCAGTCTGTTGGAAGCTAATTATATCTTCGGGATATTGAGGAAATAATCTCGTGCTAACGTCACAGAGTATTGTATGGCTCAGTTGGTGGGAGAGAGCAAGATTTAGTAAAGCATGAAAGCTCCTTTCTGGTTGGTTTCAGTGTCTGTCCAAATGTTGCGTGGTCCACATTGGTTACATAAACCTGCTCTGTCATTTTGACACCCTTACAGTGTGTGTCCTGGTGTAGCCTCTTCTTGTTCACATTGGTCACTGCTCACACTGCATGTTTAATGTCACATTGGCGCTTGAGATAAGCATATCTGATGTCAGCTGAGCAAAGTGGGAGTTCTATTTCTCTTTTTTGAAAGCTTCTAGGCGGAGATCAAAACGGGTTTTTAAAGCATTTGCTGAGCTCTCTCTATTTGAAATTTCCAGCTGTAATGTATTTCACATCTCTTTCCTACTTAGCGCACCACATGCAGAGGGGACACTCAGGTGGAGCTCTCAAAGTGGGGATTAAATACACGTAATAATTATGGAGCCAAGGCCATGTGAGGGATGCCTGTGGTAATGAGGATAGATTACCTACTCCTGCATAATTACGCTCATTCAATCAGGCTCTTCTGCACTGTGCCTGCATGCTGTCTAAGAGTCAGGAATTATTACTGTCACATTGTCAGCGTTCTGCAGAAACCTTGTGTGTCAGAAATGCCTGTTTTGCAAGCCCTGCACTGAGAAAGCATGATCCTCCCATTTGTGGGAAGCATATACACAAAATAAATTCCAAGTGTGTGTATTTGTAATTAAGTAGAGTGCATCAGAAAATAATTTCTTTAAACCTGTCTTCAGTGAGGTAGTACATAATCAAATCAAGAATATGGGTAAAATCTCAATCGGCTCAAAATAACTGCTTAGGAAAGGAAGTCGATTATGGGTCCATCTTAAGTGTGCTAATAAGGTTGTTGCTGAAAGGCATAAGAGAAGTGTCTGACTGAGAGAATTACGAACAGTGTATTAGACCTTTAAACACTCTCCGATGTCCAATTAAGATCTTGTGATTTAGTATCAAAAGCAGTGTTAAGGTCATGTAGCCTGGAAAAAGACCTTAATCATCATCCATGCTAAAATGATATTAGGTGTCACTTCTCATCCTGATAATATCTCCACATATTAGCTATAAATTAGTTGCTATATTCTTCTTAATTAGGAAATTATATTGGATGGGACCGTCATTCCCCCTCCCTTCGCTTAAAAAAGTCAGTCACAACTAATTTAGGTACACATTTACACCAGAGTTCCCCTCAACAACATTTTTTCTGTTCTTTTCATTCTAATTAAAATGTCCTGGCTGTGTTTGGTCATACATGGATTTATACAATTTGATGTTTTTTAAGATCCTCTTTCAGTTGGTCTACTCATCATTAAAGCTGTATGTTCAACATGTCAGCTAAAATATGAAGTTAATTGAAATTTTCTGTTCAGAATCAGCTTGTACTTTGTGTTTGATTCCTCACTTTCAAGAGCACACAGTTTCCCCCAAGATTTACATTTTCTGGCAACCAGAGCAACTCTGCAGTGGCAAAATAATTGAGCATGTATTTTGCTGCCCTGTTTCAGTACAGCTGCGTATTTATTACGAGGCACATACTATCAAGACAATTTGAGGGGAGTTTAATCTTAAAAGATAGGAGCTACTCTTTAATACTCTTAATCAAGAAAATAAACAAAATTTGTGTTTGAGCGGTAATCAAAGCTTTGCGGAGCAATGCGACATATCTGGTAGGTATGCAATACTTTACTTAAGGACAGCAGAGCAAGTCCTTCTGGTGGACCTGTGTCCTGCTTGTTGAAGGACAGCCTACCTATTCACTGCGGTACAAGCTGTGCATATGTCTTGTTGTGACTGCTGATAACAACATCTGTACTGACAGATGGGTTGGGAAATAGTGGTCAGTGGTGAAATATTCCTTTTCTAATTCAATTCTGAGGATGTCACAAATGACTGCAGGTAAACATGAGCTGTCCTCTTTTCAAAGCTGCAGGGGTTGACCTCAGAAAGCAAATATTTGTGAATATAGGAAGATCAGTTATTAAAGCCTTAGATTTTGTTTTTCATACTTGTGACTAACTTCCGTTGCTCAACAGTAAGGTTCAAGGACATTTGTAAAAGCACTGCATACAAGGAAAAACAATCTTTATGAAAATTGAAAGGAAGGACAGAAAATGTATAAGCAAGAGGAATCTGGTCACCCTGTAGATTGAGATGTGGTGGTGCAAACATCTCTGGAAATTATGTAGAGGAATCTGAGCACAGTAACTGATGTGTGGAGGAGGGATCTGGCATTGCAGGGGAAAAAAGGATCAGAGAAACCTTATCCTCAGCAGTTGCAAAAGGTACATTAGATCTCCCTAAAATTGTCGCGAAAATATGGTATGACCTGAAACTGTGTGAGCTCCAGTCGTCTAGGTACAGAATATGTCAACAAACAGGTTGATTATTTTTTGAGCAAGAACTGAGTCGCCACCAACATAGTAAGAGAGAGCAACAACAAAAATGAGCTTCAAAACTTTCTCTTACCTTTTCATTTATATTAATTTTATAGTTATCTGTATAGTGTTCTTTATACACTAAGCACAGTGATGACACTCAGCATGGAGTATAAATGCACTTTTTAGCAAAAGAGAATAAAAGAAAAAGGATTTAAACAACAACCATCATGATGACTAATAATGATGGCCGAGGACATCCTGACATTGCAGAAAAACATCTTTTAAAGTCACCATGCACAACATCACACTTGCTAACACTGCATGGTGCATGGTTCCCTTTCTGACCTTGATATCATTAGTTCTTGTGGGAATCTCCACCAAGTAAAAAAAGGAAGGGATTTGATTTCATTAGCATTGGTAATGTTTCTATGTGACCATACAAAGCCATTTCACCTCATGTGTTTTAAAAATATAATAAGTGTATTTATAACATCCATCTGGTAGCCAAAGGGCTGATTGAGGATCTGTTAGAATTTTACAAATGACCAATTTATGGACCATTTATTGAATGATTTACTGTCTCCCCCCAAAAAAAACAAAATTCTGCACAACCTAACAAGGCGACTATTGTGTGGGCACAACAGCAGCAGGGTAGAGATGGGGATTTTTTAGTTACCAGTATATGGAACCACTAAAGGCACTACACAACGAGAATCATTATCTGCAGAGCAAGTTTCAGGACAGCAGCTGCAAAGTGCCTTCAAAATGAAAAAAAAAAGAAGAACAACAGAGGATAATTTATTAAAAGCAAAAACAATGCACAAAAACCAAAGCAAAAAAGAATAAAGGGGGTCACCAGGAGAATGTTGCAGTTAAAAGCACAAAAGCAAGTATGCAAAGGTGAGCCAATTACTTTAAGCATATTGTTTGCACGTCCACTAATGGCACAAAAGCTCAGCCAGAAATGGTTTTCAGTCTAGACAGCGTAACAACTACCAGGGTCTGTCGTGAGATTATCTGGCTGCAGTGATATAGCATCAGTTAGAGAACATCTGTGCTGTAGTCAAAACACTGACTGAATATGATGCTGAAATTGGAGTGATTATCTTTTGTCTTTAGGCTTAACAGATCTGGTAATGTGTTCCACATTAAAAACTATTCTGCCTTTCAGTGTAATTATGAAGTAAGCACAGGTGCCTTCTTGTCAATTTAAGATGAAATTATTTTATCTTCTTACATTCTGGCATCTCATCCTTTAGCTTGAGGTATCTTTTCATGATGTCAGGAGTATCTCATTAAAGTCTTCCTTTCATTTCTTTTATCACTTACAAAGCTTTTTTCTGATTCGGGGTTTAGTTCATATGAGCTGAATCCCTCTTCAATACTCCTTTAATGAAATCATGTTTATTTATCACTTAGCAGATCTGGTCCTGTAAATGTGATAAGTTTTCTGTTTGAAAGAGGAAACCAATTTCTTTTGGAAGTCTCCAACATGTCAAGGCTATCCTGTAAAAATACTGGCTGAATTATTTTAGGGTGCAGTTTACACTTTGAATGCTTTCTTATTTTTTTATCAAGCAAAATCTCTATGTGGATTAATTATTGTTTTTTCATTTAATGTTTTCTTTATTTAACATTGATTCTAGTCACATTTTTCATATTTTTTACAACTCAAACATTTAACATTTTGTCTCAAATTTGCTCTTGTGATTGATCAAAAGTTTACTCTAGCTGTTTCCTTCCAGTACAATGACTCACCAAAAAATAAACCTAATGATGTTATTCTCTGAATTTAAAAAAAAAAAACATCTATAAAAATGGTGTTCTTATATAATAGTATGAAATAAAACTGTCAATATTAACAAACTAATCAGACATAAGTATCTGGACACGGACTACAATATTGAGTCACAACACTGGGACTATAGAATCAAATTTATATCCAATTAATTTAACAAAGCACCAAAACTGCTCCAAAAACTTATCCAATCCAATATTGAGGTCTACTTACATCTTTAAGCTAGTGCGCTATAGCACTAGCAGTAATGTGGGTTATTATTACAAACAATAATATAACGTTTTATATATAAACTTTATAACAAATCAACATGAGGGAAACACGATTTCATTACAGATGAATAGTAAGTAAAGTCAGGGTTTAGGTTTTCCCTGTGTATGTGTATAAACGGGATTAGCTAAAACGGATGGCCACTTTACATAGCAGCCTCTGCCATCGGTGTGTAAAAGAGTGTGAATGGGTAGGTGTGACCTGCAGTGTAAAAGGGCTCTGAGTAGTCAGAAGAATAGGAAAGTGCTAAACAAGCTCAAGTAGATTTAGCATTTCCCTTTGGGTCCAATGGTTATCTGTTTAACATTCTATGGCAATCACAACAATAAAGATGATATTCCAGTATTGGCCTCCCAGACCAAGCAGCACCCTGACATCCAAAGAGCAAAGCTAGTCTAGTTAAAATAAAAACAATATATATCATACACACTCAGGGATAAGCTCAAAACAAGTATTTTTCTTTTAATAGGACATTAAGGGAGAACACTTGTTCTGGTACTATTCCTTGGCAAGAATCCACACTAGTTGGTTTATTCCTCCATAATCCTTGATGTGAGCCTCAATAATATTTTGACAGTTTGTCACATAACTTGCATGCACTTGCACTTCTCTTCTTCTTCTCTATTTCAAAGATTAAACTTGGGAAGATGCAGTAAGATCATCCACAGTCTCTCACATTGGTATTATTAGAAATAAGACAGGAATACCACCTGAAATTTCTCTATTTGTCTTATCTTCAGATGCAATGAGGGAAACAATCAGTCAGCATCTTGGAATCCTGCAGAGTCCTCCAACTGCAACAGGCGTAGGGTCCTTCCACAAGAGATGCAGAATGACCTGGAACACCAGACCTCACAGGATCTTCCTCCTCCACCACCCCCATCTCCCCTGCCTCACCCCCATTCTCTTCCTCTTCTGGAGAAACATATTTCCATAGTGACCGGCTCTAATGGTCGCTCAGAACTGATAGGACGAGTGATGGGCCAAGGACTAGGGCCAGGACAGGGGGGCTCGGGGCAGAGCATTACATCGGGACAGTGTCGGGGTTTGGGTGCGGGTGACTGCGGACCTGGACTGGGCTTAGGTCGAAATCCGTTGGTTCAGGAGTTGTCTGAACTGGAGGGGCAAATTCTTGTAATCAAGCAGCAGCTGCAGACAGCAATGAGGCGGAAGAGGGAACTAGAACAGTACCAATCAGAGAACCAGCAAGCAAACCAGACTACACCCAGTCAGCCTCCCATGCACCAGTCTAACCAGTTTGTTCAGTATTCCCAGTCCCACCAGCAGACTAACCAACACACAAACTCACTCCCAGAGTTCTGACACTTTTCGCCTTTGTTCTGCCCAAGGAAACAGGAAACTACTTTTTTCCAAAACCTGCTGTTGGTTCACAAGTGGCAGGCGGTACCCAGAGAGCTGGACTGAAATGTTCTCCATGGATCAGATCCTGCTCTTCAACTTCTGGAATGTGAGATTTGGTTTGAAGAGGGGCATTGGACAAAGGTGAACCAGATACTCTGATCAAGTCTGTTCTCACTAGCCTGTTGCTGTTATACTGAAGAGCTGTGCATATCTTCCATGTTCTTCACCTCCTTTTTACCTCGTTCTGGTCTCTTCATTCTTGCCTTTTACCATTCCTACTTCTCTCCACTCCTTACTCTGGACCTTGGCGTCACTTTCCTCAAAGCCTTTTCTCTTCACAGGTTTAGATTTGCCAGCCATAACGATAAGCTTGAACAAAGAAATTAACACTATTTGGTATTTAAACTTAATAGGTTAATTCACCTGAGTCTTATATTGGGACTCGTTTATAGTGTAAATGACCTGGACCTGAACCAAGCCACTTAGGTCTTTATGTCTTAATGTCTGATAGAAACATTGTACAGCTCAAGGGGGAAAGAAAATAAATACATCTAGTGGTGATTGGTCGGTTACCATTGACAACACTGATCTTAATGAACAACACAATTTGGCCCAATTCTTGTGAGACTTAAAGCAACAATGTATAACTTTTCCATCTTAAAATCGTAGTTTCAAAGTAGATCTAATCGTTCAACAACTTTCCACATGCAGTATAGCGTCTCTCCCATGTCCACAGACCGCCACTGGTCGCATGCTCAAAGAACTATGCAAGTTTTGCAGTGGGGCTGCAGTTCTCTCGCGAGAAGTGTGAATGGCTTTAGGGCACTAGCGGGTTAGCCTGTCTCAGTACTGTTTGAGACAATGGATGAGGCTAAGAACTCAGCTAGGAGATGGAAGAATACAGTGACCGATGTAGCTATGAAGTGAAAAAGAGAGAGTGACTGTGCAAGAAGTGGACATCCCTGCAGATATTATTCACAACATATTGCGACATACGTTAGGCTGTATTGTTATTGGTGTTGTTGTCTCATGTTTAGCAGCTTTACCGAGTGCAGAAAGTCATCTTACCCAAGTTTTGTCTCAGGCTTAATACAAATAAATCAATCAATCTATCTTATCCCAAAAGTTTTCTCTACAGACACAAACAGACATATTTGCGCAACATGCGGTAATTTTACTGTAACTTGTCTGTCGACATGATTCTTTGGCCTCTCACAACAGCATTCCTCTGCTTGTTAACAAATGCACGTTGTCTATGAGGGGGAGTAGTAGGGGAGGCATGTGTTGTCCATTACATAGGTATGCTGCAGAATGGGAATGGGAAGGCTTTGACCATCTGATGGTCAAAGCCTGCTGTGTTCAGGCTTTGACCATCAGATGCTATGCCTTATGCAAAACGGGAGGGTCTGACCTCCGGGAATATAGTTCTTGACTTGTAAACTTGATTTTTATTCAATTTTTGTCCACAAGCTCACCAAACAGAATTCCCACATACTGTTGCGACTTTGGTGAAGAAACTGTTATCAGTATTGAACACAAAAAGACACAATACATCAGAAAGACACATCCATATTCAACAAGAACATCTCGTTGAGATCTTGTGGTGGGTTATAGGACAATAGAAATCAAATTTTACTGATTACTTGGTCATGTTGTCCTGTACTTCACAGATGCACTTCTAGTTTTTTAAATTCTTTGAGTTCTATATATTATAATTATTCTAATTTGTAATGTTTATTCTAATTTCTTAATTTCATCAATTAATTGAATTCATCCATTAATTTTTCATAGTTTAATTTATGATCTACAAATATGACTTATACATAACGGCTTTGAGGCTTTAATACAACAAGTTGTACGTGAAATCTCTTAAGATTAATGATCCCTTAATGGTTGTCATTTTTTCCAGTCAGGGATCCAAAACAGGACCTTTATACCAATCTTCTTAAGATCACACTGGTGCTCTTGTAATCTCAGTTTTGGTAAATTCCCATTCTTTTAGAGTAAATGTAAAGGTGTACTTAAACTTGTTGAACTCCTGACACCTTATTTGAATATGATGATCATTCACAATTGAATACACTGATAAGTCTTTCTGTGATGAGATCTGTTTTCTTGCACCTTTTCTGTTCCTGTTTGAATGTTTTCTGTTATTAAAAACTTACCTCTTCTCTTTGCACTTCACTAACAATTATTTGCCCTTCATTCTTCATTGGGTGTTCATGTTTAAACACAATTTTTGGTACACATTAGCAACCAAAGGAGCGTACTTCAACAAAAAAAGCAACCCTAATATCCTTTAGCAAGAAAGTCAGACAGATGACTCAGATCAAACGGTTAGACTCCCGAACCTTTTTTCAAGGTTTTTGCTTTCATTGATGAGTGACATGTTTCCATCTATGTAAGAGAGACAAAGTAGAGCCCATGAAAGGAACAGATCAATGGGTTACTTTCATTGCATACCAACCAAACTGTGCACTGAGGGAATACTTGCCAGAATATTATCAGGGGTTGGCAATTGCAATTCACCTGTAGGTACCTGTATCCTTTAATCTACATATATTTCAATATATGTTTTAAAAAACACCCTTTAGCTGTATATAGTATATCCAACCCACTCCGAGTTCTGCTGCTAACAATGTGGTTGCTGCACTACTTCAATCACACTGCTAGGGAACAGCAATTTGGACTGGGAGGTGTACTAAGAACAGTCATGGATGACATTTTAAAACCACATGGCATGGTCAAATACTGCCAAACACACTCAAGCAGTCCCTATCTATTTAGCCAGTGTGTCCGCAGGGAAAGCGCAGGCTGTCACAGCTGAAATGAATACCTGACAGAGCAAAAGAGCAAGTGCACTGGCTTAGCCGTCAGCTTTCTTTTGTGTTTGTGTGTGTATGCTTTGCTTAGTGGTGACATAAACATCACTGAAGGTGCGCCGATGGTAACAGGATGAATCAACAGAAAAAATAAATAAGAGCCTGGGTGTAGCATTTCTATGCTCATTCCAATCATTTTTCTGCATAGCATGGTTGGCTTAGGGTGTGATGGAAAGAGCAAAGGCCTGCCTGTCAGACTATGACACTCCGTCCACGAGACAAGAATACATTCATTTTATATTGACTCGTGGACCTTTCTAAACCAAGGTTTCTAAAAATCACACTTTTCCCTGATTTTTGAGGCGTCATTTTTTTTTTCAGATAGCACAATGTAACATGTATTAGTTGCTCACGAAATACATTTAAACTACTTCTTGTACAATAACAACCAAAACAAGTGCAAAAAGTCAGTACGTTCTGAGCAAAAATGTCCGACAAAGATATATTTATTTTTACTCATCATATTTGCGTACTTATTTCAAAACATTTAAAGCAGGAAAGCTGTGATTTAAAACATTGCAGAACAATAATATATTTACAATAGCAGATTCTTTAGATGTGAAAGACAAGGCAAGTCACAGGAAATTAAGTTTTTTTTTTTTTTTTTCCTGAACTGAACCTGGGACCTCTTTATGTGATGCGCAGACCTTCTGGCTGTTGTCCTGTTTTACACATAGACCGCAAATATTAATAGACGAAGCGTGAGTGACGTCAGGAGGCTCATCGGCAGCAGCCGCCATGCTGGAAATCCTGTCTCAGCCTAACTTTTAGTCAAGCTAACGACAAGATTAGAGATGGAGCTGTGGCAGTTAAGCCTCTTGACGAACCGTTATATCATGCCCACCTGTCAATCATGTCATACGTGCCTAACTACGGATGACGCGTATCTTTTTCAAAATCAAAACGGAGCGGTTTGAAAAAAAAAAAAATCACCCCCCATACAGTGTGTGCCAGTGATGACAATAACTAATCAGACCTATTTTTTTTGTTGAACCAGGCTGTAAACATGTTAATTTATGCTGTAAAAACAGCTTGTTTGCCTGTTGTGTGTAGTGACTTCCGGGGTTCCTGGAGCCAGCCTCAAGCGGACACTCAACAAACTGCAGGATTTTGCACTTCTGCATTGGCTTTATTTTTCAAGACCGGAGGTTGTTACATGAGCCAAACAAATATTTCAAAGAACAGTGACAATACTATTACTTTCTCTTGAAATGTTCTCTCTGATTCCCTTTCACTGGAATTGAAACCTGAGCTAAATCGTTTGAAACCTTCACCTTGCTGGTGAACACAGTCAGCAAAGTTATTACAATAATAATAATAATCAGTGTTTACAATAACCCAGTTCATTATACAACTATGAGATAAAGACCCAAACCCCAGTCTCACAGGCTGATTATGCTTTATATTTAATCATTAACCACTTTGGGACGGGCTTGAAGGCCACAAGCCGAAACGCATCGGTCTAATTTGTTTATAAGGCTGATCTTCGTACTAGAAGTGTTGCTGGAAATCTTTTGACCTCATTGTCCCGAGCTACATGTTTTTTTAATAAGAAATACAAAAACAAAGTTATCAGCTGAACTTGAGCATTTGACACATACTGAAGAAAACACAGGAGAACACATAGTTGCTACTTACTATTTAATTTGTGAACAAACCAAGAAAAAATATATGTAGCATCTCCAATGAAATGCCTTTTATGTTTTTAAAGTAAAATACATTTAGAACCACGATGATAATGAGTAATTCAAATCATGAATATGTATAAAACATCTTGACTTCTCATGTCATGCTGGGCGCATCTTCCAATGGGAAATGAAGTCACAACATTGCATCACAATCCACTGGTGGGTCGAGGAGGGGGAGGAATAGTGAAGTAGGAGTCATAGCCTGGATTCCATTAAAAGGGCTAGCCGAGCCTTAAGTAAGTCAGTTAGTTCCACTCCAAAGACATTTTCTGTTTCTTTTTTTTCATTTTCCCATGTATTTTGTAAGGATTTTTTTTTTCTATTGGGATTGCAGTTTAAATTTAACTGTAAAGCCATACCAGTGACATCTTCAAGGTACACCTGACACAGGCTAGCCCCACTAGACTCTTTATAAAAAAATTCCTATTGACATCACAGAGAATCAGGAAATTGGGGTGATACTCATTCATATTCACATTTCAACCAATCATATTTCAATTTTATTCTAGCTGATAACAGGGCACTGTAAGTGCCAAACCCCATTTTTCTGACTCGGAGGATATCACTGACTCTTCCTTGTCACTTCCTCCAAAGGGGAGAGGGGTTGTTCTGCAAAACACATAAACTGGTACCAAACATATCCAGGTTTACAGCAGGCAAACAGGTCCAAATGGATCATAATAGTCTTACAGATTGACAAAAATCTTTACAAAATATGACCTAACAAGGTCAATTAATGTACAGAGAGAGATAATAAAAAGAAGGATTTTGTCTTTTTTCTGTACAAATGACAAACATCACAGAACAACAACATCAATAATTTCCAATAGCAGATTAGCAGATTCTTTAGACTGAGGGGGATGGATGTGATGGACGAGGCAAGTCACCTTACAGGATGTGATGGAAAACAGAGTGAGTCAGCTGACTGGAAGTGTGCAGGTTTAACACCATCAGGATAGGCTACAGCACTCGCTCATACAAAATGTACAAAACACCGTCCTCTAACTACAAACAGCACACCTTGGAGGGAAAAAATGCCTCATGCTCTAAATGGTTGAAAATATCTGGAAAAACAATCTGTGCTTAAGTTTGCCTTGGGATATTTTGCCACTGATGCAATCTGTGTGCCTTGGCAGGTTGAATTGAGCATAGCCCAACTAAATGAGAACCACCTGAAACATGGTGTATTTTGTCCCCCCAGTGAATTAAACAGATATATCAGGAGTGTTTTTTGTAAAGCATTCGGAGCCACGTGGCATGCGTCCTTGTCATTGTGTCTGGAAGTGCTGTGGAGACGCAAACGTGACCCGGTGCTGCCCCCTTAGTCATGTGACCTCCGTCATCGATGCCGAGTGGTTCTGAAAATGGATGTGGAAGGAGGGATGGGAAAAGTAGTACAAGATTGGAAAGGAAAAACATAAAAGGAAAGTAGACATAAAAGGGGAGAGGGAAAGAAATGAAAAGGTAGAGGAAACAAGTGTCAAAGAGATTCAGGAGTGCTCTGTGTTTTTCTGTGAGGATTTTAGACAGAGGACAGGGGTGTTGTGCAAAATGTCATGCCTGTATGTTTTCCTAAAAATGTGTCATTGCTTTGTGTCAGAAAATTAAGACAAGAAATAAAGACAGAAGACAGAAAAACAGGAAAGCCAACAAATAGAAAGAAAGAAAGAAAGAGAGATAGAAATAAAGAAAGAACAAAAAAAGAGAGCGAAAGAAGGAAAGAAAGAACATACAAACAACAAATATGTGAGTCATACTAAAAACCTGTTTAAGTTGATTAAGGTAAGACCATTTCTCTATGGGATCCTAGAAAATTCCAGATCCCACAAATTGAATTACAGTTACAGCAAATTACAGTGCAAACCAAATTACAGTAGACTGAAGTCAAAATCTGAAAGGGGACTTTAACTCTAAGCTCGGAGTCTTGAGGGAGCACTTGCAATTAATGGGGGGGAGATAATGTGCATCATGGAGATTAAGTTTTTGGAATGCCAGGTTAAGTGTTTTCATGTACCTGTGCGCTGAGGGTCTCAAGAGGGCTCTCTACACGGGGGAAAGTCATCAGAGGCAGACCACGGTAGTCTTCAGTTTTCTGTTTAACTGCTGCACTGTGGACGCCTTTGAAGTTGTTCACAACACATATACCCTGTGAAGTATGAAGACAGCTTAATATTAAGAGTGATACGAGGTTCAAAACAACACCTACTGACATGGAACTACTGCAAAACATTCCTGGTTCATCAGGACAGGAAGGTCAGTTTCAGCCGTGACAAAGGCTGTTGTGATTGTAAATGGACCTTAATCATTATGTCACTTTTTAGGTGACATAATGATTGTGTTTTTAATGTTTTAAATGGTATATGGGCATTGTAACGCTTTTCTAGTTTTTTAGACTACTCAAAGCTGCTCTTACTCATCACATTCACCCATTCATATTCATTCACACAATGTTGGTGTAGCAGCAGGAGAAATTTGGAGGGTTCAGCTTCTTTCCCGAGGACACTCCAACATGTGACTGCTGGAGCAGAGGATCAAACCCCCAGCCTTCTGGTAGAGAGAGGAAATGCTCTGGGGTGTTGGTTTTTGTGGTACACAGTCCAGCAGGCACTGTGAACCCAGGCCTTGATATTTTATATTTCAGTTTAATTCTTGTAAATTAATGTCACTTGAGAATTCACTTTTTTGTCCATCTGTCATGATCTTTAAACAGTACAGACACGACCAAGGTTGTCCCATTTCTGTACTCTTCCATGAACTAGTAAATCAAAGAAGGCAGCCAGAGGGGGAATCTCACCCCTGGGCCGATCATGCCCTCGGGCAGTGGCAAAGGAGGAAATGAAGCAGGCTGATTCACTGCTGGAGAATTCTCAAGGTTTCCTTGTTTGTGGCAGTTAATGGGCAGTGCGCTGCTCTAATGCTCCAAGACCAAGCAAATAAATTAGTCTCAGCTGCCAGGCTACAATCTTATGACAAGGTGCCAGCTTTAGAGGTTAAAAAAAAAACACATACATATGAATTCTTAAAAAAACATCTGTAAGGGTGAATCTCAACTTGAGTTTGATTAAGCCGAGTTGTGATTAAGTACAAATGTTCAAAGTACACCTTAGCTCTACTTCTTTACCTGTGTCTGTGAGGTGACCTTGAGTGACATGAAAGGCGCCAATAAATAAAATGAAATGCATCACTCAAAGGTGAGAGTGCTATCTGGAAGTTTCCAAACAACTTATTATATCAACTTTCAATTCAATCCTTTCTCCAAAAACGCTAAACCTAAAACTATTCATCTTTTTTCAAATATATATCAGTACGGTTACAGCTCTGTTGATTTCCTTCAACTCAGAGGTATCCCCGAAGACAATGGATGATGGCTTTCTTTACATTTTCACATCTCCTTATCCATGCTAAGAATACGCTGCCAATGCCAAGCTGCAATCTTTCATTTCCGGTGACTAAAGGACTTTTGATTGTTATGATGAAAATTCTGAAAAGTTTCCTAAACTCAAACAAACGTTAGACATAGTCTTGCCACAGGATACAATTTGTATGGTAATAAAATCAGGCCCAGAATGACATTACGTTCTTGGTTTTTACAGCTGCATTAAAACAAGCATTTTAACTCGTATTCCATGCGGTAACATTTCTCAGACATTTCTTTTGAAAGGCAATTCTACAAATCCTGAAAGCCTTGAATTAGAGGTTTAGATTGAAAACCATTTGAAAATTCAAAGGCTTTGCTTTTCGTAAGACAGTCAGAATGTGACTCTATACTGTCCTTGATCAAGTGGACACTTCTGACTCTTGAATATCATCCTTCAGCTTTCTCAACCGAGAGTTGCCATTGATCCCTCAATCCGCCAACAGAGGACAAATCTCTTCTAAGACCAAAGGCAGTCTCTGTTTGATGAGCCCATTCAGCTCGAATCTGTGTGAGCACTGATAGCACAGGGATTTGAGCTTCACCTGCTTCCTACTCTCTTTGTACCAATTAATTTCTCTCAGGATAGCAGTCCATCAAATTGGCTCAGTTTTCAGATGACAAGACCCTCATAAGCTTCAACAGGACCATTAGACAGATGTGTAGTTGTCCTCACTTCATGGTTTGCTGATAATAAGGTGGAAATGAGGAAGTTCAAAGATGCTGAGTACATGATTGACTTTCTTGGGTTCATCACTCCCTGGAGATCCCGAATCAATGTCTGTCCATTTTTATAGGCCAATCATTGGAAGCTTGAAGCTTATATATCCCTTGTAAAACTGACTTCTTTTGATCCAAGGACACGCTTCTTCATGTTGACAATCCAACACCCAACTTGCTTGTATCTTCCTCCAAAGTCCAAATTTTCACCAAGAACATTTTATAACCATCTATTCAAAGTAATCCTCTTAATTCACCTTTGATTATGGCCTATTCATTTCCCAATCAAGACCCTCCCCATTCTCCTGTGGAGCTTTCTGTTCATCTCAAAGCTGTCTGTTTTAGTGAGTATACCTTTTTCTGTGCATTAAAAATGTTTTAACCAATCATCTTGGATGAAAAAAATGGTAAATCCATTCATGATCAGATGAAGCCGTCTCACTCTGGCAAATGTCCAACCTTTTTCTTCTCCACAAACAGATCAATGTATTTGTACATTCATTTTTACAATCACATTAACACAACATTTTCCACGTGAATCCATATCTTGTAATGCTGTTCGTCTCTTTTTTAATGAAACAGCTGCTAAATCAGCCACCTGCAGCCAATAACATTACCTCAAACCTTCTGTTCATTGTCTTCCATTCATGTCCTCCTCCTCTGTCTCATTTATTTTACACTTCCTGCTTTAAGGCTTTTTACCCAGAGGCAATTACACATAATGAAGCCTCTGAGACAGTTAACTACTTCCTTTTTGATTTGCGAGGGTATCTCCTCACCTTGCATTGTCCTCAGTGGGCTTTATGCTTCTACAGCACCCTCCCCCCCCCCCCCCCCGCCACCCCGCCACCCCCCTACCCCACCCCACCCCTACCCCGGAAAGTGTGAGGGTTACCGCTGTAATCACCAATCTGCCTTTTAACACTAAGCACAAAATCTGATGCTGACAAAGCCGTTTTTGTGTTCAGTGAAACCAGACTGTTTGGCAACAGATCACAGGAAGCAAATATATTTCATTAAAGACTGCCGAATTGGAAATTATCCTAATGAGAAACAGAAGTTTATTCTGCACAAATTAGACTTTGTTGAGCCATTTGTTTTGTATGACAGATTACAAGACTAACAAGAATTATTCCCCTCCTCTGCAGGACTAAGTTTTTGTCCCTCTCTCACCACCCTTCCTCTCCATGCTCTCTCAGAACCAGAGGCATTGCTGATCTCAGTAGAAATCCAGGTGCCACCTCAGTATATTCACTCTTTTCTTCTCCTCTTTTTTTCCCCAACCAGTGCATCCTTCCCTTTTCCCTCTATCCACACTCACCCGTCTCTGAACCTCCTTCAAGCTCAGTATGAACCATGCTTCATCCTGTTTCACATCCCTCCATCACCTTGTCATGAACTTCTGCTAACTTTTGGACTAAATAAATGTTTAAGAACTCATTCAAATTGACCGAACGGAAAACAAAGACCTTTGCATTCACTAATGTACCTTCTAAACGATAATAATGATTTAGGAAAATTATGAATAAATGTTAACAGAAAGTACGAAAGAATTCATGACATACGCTTGCATTAAGACTGACATACAAACCATATTAAAGGTCTTGGTAAGGTCTGCAGCCTGAGTGAATCGTTTAATTAATGGTTTGGCTTGATTCCGAAAGGAAACTGGAAATTATAATTTAAAAAATAATGAAAGACCAGAATCCTAGAATAATCATCTTCTCTTTTTCTCTTTCCTCTAATCCCCACTCCAACTGAACTTTTCACTTTTCTGCCATCCTCACCAGAAACAGAGCAACTGCTGATCCCAGTATAAATCCAGCCACTACGTCTGAACAGTGGCTTCTGTACTCTGACACTCGGTTGAGGCCCGTGAGGAAGGCCGAACAGAGCGTGCCGAGACAGAGCACAGGCTTGGCCAGGCGGCTGGACTTGGTCTTGATGGTGCTGGTGATGTACATCTAGAAATGAGGACAGAAAGCATTTTAAATCACACCAAGCGACAGTTAAGAAAACCATAGTAAATGTTCTTTATCATGTCTCAAAGGTTTAAAGGTCCCATATTATGCTTTTTCTGGTTTTATATGCTCTTTAGTGTGTTTTCCAAGTGTCCTGTGCATGTTTAGGCACATCTATGTGCATAAATTCAAAGTCCGCGGAAACGCGGCTTCTCCTACCTCCTCCTGTTAGCTGTAGCATTAGCCGCATGTAATGCTCGGTTCTAGCCCCCCTCGATAAAAATTTGTCAGTCCGACGTCATTGTCAGTGTGAGATCACTGATCTAAGCCCATTGGCTCGTTGTGGCAAGCCCTGCAGCTCATGTTGAAATTTCCGAGACGCGTGCTGAGCAACTGACCAATAACGACAGAGCGGATCGGCAGACCAATCAGAGCAGACTTGGCCCACGTGGGGTCTAACAGTGTGGGCTCAACAGAGTGCAGCTGATGGACTCAGAGCGTAAGAGGGAGCAAGGAGGAGCAGTACATGAAAACAGACACTTTTTTCGAACTTTATCTATTGTGAACGTACAAAAGTAGGTACATAGATTAAATATACCAACCCCAAAAAAGGGCATAATATGGGCTCTTTAATAATAACCCCTGAACAAAAGGAATATTATGCATAGACCCTGGAGGTGCTCCTGCAGAAATAGAATCAAATGTAACATTTGATGACAGAAAAAAAAAATCCCTCTCTTTGGATGGAAGAAAAAAAAACAGAAAGATGTCTGAAACTTTCATCATGTGAGTGAAATAACTCCAAAACAACGACGATTAAACAAACAAAAAAAAAGGTAAGGTAATGTGGGAAGCTCTCCAAATAGATGTGAAAAAAATGAATTAAACTTGAATCATCTTCCATTGCCAACGGAGACTATGCTTTTCAAATCATCCTTTCATCAACAACCTGTCCTTGTAGTTCTCTGGCTGCAGTCAATAAAATCTGCACTTCCGCACTCTCCCTTTTCACTCTTCAGCTGCCGAGCGCCTCCATCACTCTGACATCATTTAGCAGCTCTTCAAACAGACCTATTAAACACATTCTTCACAGGTTTTTTTCAACCACATTTTAAAAAACAGCCTTGGACCTGCCTGTGACATATGTTTGTATCAAACAGGCCTTGACAAGCTTTCAAGAAATATGAAGCAGGCCCATCCTTGACAATGCCTCAATCAAAGATTCAGAGGGAGGTGGTATGTAGCAGCTTACAACAGCACTCTTTCTCAATCAGAGATCATTTCAAATTCAATCTATCAAACATCTTTTCATCTCAGTTTTTAATGGTGAAAAAAAAATCCACCAAGATGTTAAAGTTCCTTTATTCCATCCCGACTGAGTTACTTTAGCGCAATGAGTACAACAATATTAATTAACTTAAACTGCAGTGTTGAAGAAAATCTGTCAGAAGCTTTATCAAGGTCAAAGAGGCTACTTTTCTCACCTTTGCCTAACACACTACCTCACACATGATATTCTGACTGTAACACCAGGGGGAAGAGGAAGGTAGAAAATGTTGCTCCTCACAAGAGTTCAAGGTGTAAAAGATCTTTTATCAAACTGTATGGTGCGGTCTCACAAGGATCGCAAAACTGAATCCCTGGGATGAGGTTCGTTTTTGGACAGAAGATAAATATGTTTCAAAGCAATAAAACAGGAAAGGTTTTGTAAACATTTCCTTAATTATTTAAAGGATTTAAAGTGTAATATTTTGTAACCCAGAGAAAAAAGATCAGTTGATAAAAGGCCACAAAGTAAGAAATACACTTAACAAGCCAAAATGTCTTCATATCTACAGTAACAGTGAATCTTAGTGTGACTTTCCTTTAAACCTTTCAGTCTGTGAAACACGCACATTAAACCTCATTATAGTGCCCTGTGCTCATGTACATTCTGCTCACCGTCAAGTAAACGGCAGAGTAAACACTCAGCGAAGCGTCCTTAGAGGGAAAGGATCGGCGGGCGTTCTCCACGACCACAGAGGGCCCGGTGCAGATGTTTCCGTTGACAATAAACTGGTGATTAAAACGACACTCGGTGCCTGTGTAGTTTGGCTTGCAAACAGACAGGAAGTAGGGCGACAGACCTCCCGTCACCACCTGGCCCGCGTTGACGAAGATGTCTGTGGCAAACAGTCCAAAGGCAAACACACCTGGGGCACACAGACAAACAGATGCACAATAATAATTTACCCGCACACAACAACCCACGCGCTCACATCAAAGAATAACCGACACATACGACAAATCCTGGAATGCCTCTTGACATGTATGTCTTACATCATGAGGACATCACTTTATTTAAAGGGGTTCATTTGAACTGTGACTATCTGCTTCACCCCAGAATGGCGCATTCCCATAAATAAGTCTGCTGTGTTTATTTCTTGAATGATCAAACACTTACCCTGAATGCAAATTGTACTGATGTAATGTTTTGTTACAGCTGCACATGCATTGTTTCACACTCATCCCACACAAATGTAGAAGAGTAACGTAAAATCTTCTTTTTTTTTCTCTTTTGCAGCATGAATGAATCAAAAGTATTGAGAAGAAAAAACAGCAACATTGAAGTAAAAAAAACGGATAGAGTAGTGGACAATGGGCGAATAATATTGACACACTGAAAAAAAGTAGCATCTGATATGAATGATTGCACTGACACTTTCAGCCCACCAACCCTGATAAGTGGCTGTGTCTGCATTCCTTTGGTTGTGAAATATGACTGCTGATTATCTGACCTGCTTAGCCATGAAATTACTCTGCTTTGTATTCTCATCCGGGGGTGGGGTGGGGCGGCAGAGGGCTAAGGGAGGGGGGACAGGAGGGTTTTGCTGTGAGGGGCACAGGGACACGATTATGTGAAGGGCATTGAGGGGAAACAGAGTAGGGGAATCAGGGTGAGAAGAGGTGCAGGCAAGAAGGAAACGAAGAGCCTCTATGATCCTACACATTTGAGACTGTTTGGGAGCAGACTGATATATAAATCATGCGAATTGCCTAATGAATTTCTGATGAGTGTTTTATAAATTGAAGGGGTATTATTTAAAAATGAACAATGCAGCTCTGATTATGCCAGGAAGGTCCAATAGACGACCTCCCTTATTGGAACGGGTAGCATAGAGTCTGTCAGTTTGCCCAGTTCTACTCAAGCTTGGTGGAAAAGTGGCTGTAAAAATGTGAATTCAAAAGGTTAGAGTTGCATGGCTCATAAGCTATTCCACCACAAGAGCCCACGCGAGTGAGGTTATACACCTTATAGTGGTGTAAACAGCCCCATTGCAAGAAATAAATACTTTTATATAAGCTTCTATAGGATCCAACATGTCTGACTAAGATTTGTTTCAGTGGATAATGCAGTTTTAGAGAAGCTGCAGTGAAGGCATCACAGCTGGACTTGATCCCAATTGGCTCCCTTCACTGAAGAATTACTGAAATCCATTCAGTCAGGGGGGTTTGCCGTATTTAAACTGAAATGCTTCCCCTACCAAAAACCAAGTATAAATCATAGCAAGACGGCGTCATCAACCAGGCAGGATCCAGGCCGTTTACATGAACAATTAACATTTTTAACATGACATAACCAGATCCAGTAAAGCTAAATATATCAAAGTGTCTCATTGCTCCATGGTTCATATCACACCAGCCATATCGTCGCTATTTCTAGTTTCAGCACGGAACATCGGATGCGTGCTACTTGCATCGAGTGATGCAACAGAGCTGATGTTTTAGCTTTGTCAATCTTGCTAGCCTAATTTTTTATGTCTCTCATTTAATCCCTCTTTGTGCATCGACCTGTCGCAGACACAATAGAAATGTGTCTGATCCCGTCATATATCATGCCATGTACAGGTGATGGAGCTAACAGTTTGGGGACCCCCTACCCCCCACCCCCGCTTTTGCCCTTTGTAGGATACATTAGTGCATGGTAAATTATCTTCACATGACACCCATTCCTTAAGCTTTGAATCATCAAGGGCTACTGCTTTTTTTGCATTGGAGCTCCCCTCACAGGTAACTGACAGCACCTTCATTCAACTGTCAGTTTAGCCATTATACACAGCATAATGCTTTCTGGTTAGAAAATGACTGACTGGCTGAGAAAGCCAACGGAATAACCCCAGTGTTACAGTTGCATAGTTCACTGAACTACTTACCATATTTACAGAATGGACGAGCTTAGGAGGAAAATTCAAGGAACACAGGATTGAAGACAGTCAAAAGCAGCACTGCATTATGAATGCTGAGGTGATCATTTAAGCCCACACTGATATGCATTCGAATAATGATGTGATCACTTAGCTACAATAAACAAATTCAACTACACATTCAGTGACTTTGTATCATCGTGCTGAACCAAATGAAATCATTCAAATCAGCGACACCATCCTTATTTTTGGTCTGTGTGCTGTTCTGTTCAGCTGCACTGAAGCGATGCATGAGGCAAACAGTGCTGAGACTCCATGGTATGAGGCACAAGATATTCACTGAGCTACCAGAAGATAAACAAGGCCTGTAGATGAGGGTGAGGTATGAGAAGTGTACAGCATCCAAGATGATGTTGTGATGTACGCTCAAAAGACTTTGAACTTTCTCCTTAATGCTTTTTGAGATGTTGATTTCCTTTCACTTCAAGTTTGTTTTTGAAATTTAAATTTGACCAGAGAGAATCCTGCTCACTGCTCTTGCTCAACATAACCATTTATTCAAAAACAAATCACACGTTTGAAACTGAAGTTTAGAAAATGTGATGACTGGTTTAAAACAGTTTTAGCAGGATTTTATTTATAATTGCTATTATTTTCTATCACACATGTTCAGGGTTTCCCATTAAGTACTAACTTGCTTTTTGTTAAAATACAAATGGAGAAAAAAAAATCCCATTTTTGCACCCCTCTGTAGGTATGAAATGACACTTGCATAATGTTAAAGTCAGTGTGTATATACTTATAACTTGCTGCCTGATACGTTCATTATGAAAGTGCTAAGTGCAGTTTTAATAATGGGCATTGAACCATTCTTACCTATGAATCGTATGATGCGACGGATAAGTGGGTTGAGGTAACAACAGTCCCCTGTCACAATGGTTTTCTCCTGGGCCAGGAGGGCTTCTCTCGTTGATTTCATCACGTACATGGACACCTCTCCGACGAAAATCTACAATAGAATATGTCGCAGAGTGAATCAGAAATACAAGACAGAAAACAAGACAAGGAAGAAAAAACTCAAACTGAGCATTACATTATGGGTAGAACATTTTGCCCATTTGGCCTGTGTTCATAAACCACTGTCTCTTTCTTCAGGTCCATTATAGTGTGGACATTACATCAGGTCTAATGGAAAAACTGCTGCTGGACACACAAAATGGAACTCATTGCCAGCTGCCCTGGGTGATACAGGATGCTACAAAATATTTGTGCGTTTTTTAAGTGAGGGTGTGGGTACACTGTCAGAGCATCTGTGTGTACATATGTGGTTTTGGCCTCTAATGTGTATGGGTGTGTGGTTGTAGTTTGTTTAGAGCCCCAGATCTGTAACATTTTCTGTTTTCATCAATCATAAATACCCTCAAATCATCAATATGTTGTGTCGATGTGATGTTTTAAAAACATGAAGTAAAAAAAGCAAAGTTCAACGAGGGCCTGACAGCAGACACATAACACTGTAGAATATTTAAAGTTGGGCACTGGATTCCGTCCTGTCTAGATTTTCCAAAAAAAAAGGAAGAATGAATTAATATTTTCAAACACTTTTTCCACTGATTGATGACCGACTAAAATGTTATACCAAATGAAAGATACATCAAAAGCAAAATAACCGAAAAATCCATCTTTTCTTGCATAATGATCAAGAAACATCTGTCCTCAAAGGCAACACGAGCCAAAAAGGCCTTTATCTTCAAAGCAACTTTATGTACAAAAGCTGGTGACTTGTGGCATGAAGTTTGGACATGACTGAGCAGTGGTTGTGACAAATCAAAAGGCATTTTGCAGAAGCCGAAAGGGAAAGCTGGTGTTAGTGTAGCTGTTGACATAATTTCACCACAGGCATAATCAAAGGAGTTCAGGACTTAAATCTAAACATAATTATTTATGGGACCAAACAAACCTATGAATGTTATATCTGAAATATGAGCTGGTAATATAGGTCAGTATTGAAGAGAGAGTTTAACCTTCCTCAGAGACAGTCTTTTACTGAAATGGTTCTGAAATGTTGAAATCAGTGATTCATTTCTTTTTTTATTACTAGGTGATGCAGAACAATGTTCTGCATCACCTAGTGATTCATTTCTTGATACTCGTCTTAAATGATGGCTTTAACATTTTCAAGCAACTAGTAATTGCCTTGAGGTATTTGTCTCACTAGAGTCTGCCTTAGCTCTGAAAAGGTTAGCTAATGCTGACTGATCATCTTATTCCAGCTCATGTACCACCAGCTCTCCTTTATACAAATGTCATGAAACTGAAATGAACTGACTGAAAACAACTACCTTCAAATATAACACGTCAGAAACTCAGACAAACTGGCATTCGGCTGACACTGGTGTCTGAGCAGGAAATGAAAAGGTTGAAACACAGACACAAATAGAAAATGCAAATCATTAAAAGGGCGACGAGTTCTTGGGGAGTAATTTGTCTGACAAAAACGATAACAGGCAACATAGTTCTGGTTCATCTACTATCTTAATAACATGGACCCATCCATCAGTGTAACAGATTTATGGAATCTCAGGTCTGAAACACACTTGAAGGCCATAGTTTACTATACTTGGGACACTAAAATGAAACAAGTAACTTTCCACAGTTTAAAGGCATAACCTTTTTACTTTATATCTCCCTGTCTATATGCTTTCACTCTACAGCCCCATTTCCATCAAGCAGCCCGGTTTGGTTCAGTACAGTTTGGTACAGTTCGGTTTGGTAAACCCTGGTCTTGCTTGTGTTTTCACAGCCAGCCGTACCCTTATTTGTTAAACGGAGTGTAAGCCAGATGGAGATAGCCGCACCAGCTATGTAATAGTGTGACATCATAGCAGCCCAACACAATGTAGCCCGCTATAAGAAGAACGGGACAAAGTAGACAAAAAGGACCGTTTAAGGTCGGATGGATACCCTTGGCACCCCAACAAAGGGGAACCAAAAAAGTAGGACGGTACCTTATTTTGGTAACATTCTCAACTTTTGACAGTGGAAACGCCAATAAATGGGAACCGTACTGAACTGAACCAGACTGCTTAGTGGAAACACGGCTTATGACAAAGGTTTCCTATATAAAACATGAATGATTCATATTCCAGTTAGTACCAACATATTGAATGGCACATAAAGAGATTTTGGATCAGTCTTGATTGTAACATTTAATACACTGTTGATTTGATGTGATGAACTATTCAAATTTAAATCAAAACAGCCCTTTGTGGGTCTAACACAGTAAGATTGGATTGGACGTATCATGAACAATACAAGGTGTTTTGGCGAGCTATAACAGCAGCTCTTGAAAGGACCAAAACAATAAGAAATGCCCTCTGTGTTTTTCTCAGCTTTTTGTTATTTCTCTACCAATTCATTCAAATGCAAATATATAGATATACATATCAATATATATTTTTGATTTTTTAAAACTCTTTTGTTATCAAATGTCCCATAAAACGTTCATAGAGAGATAACGTCATCCTATGTCCAAAAGACAAAAACTAAGGTATATAGTTTAGAGTGATTTAAAATCATTGATGATGATAGGTTACTGATGACATACCTATAATAGTTGAGTAATCAAGTAGCTGAGCCAAACACCTTCATCTTAAACTTTTCTTAAACCCTTATCAATGTGGTTCTTGAGTTGCTCTTACGTAACTCTGAGTCATGAAAAAGTCATTATTTTCAGTCGCAAACCTAAAGATAATGATAACTAATTTCTTCTTCTTCTTCAAGTCACTACCTGGTATATGGTTTTTAGCATCTTTCAGCACTTTGTTTTGGCCCACACCCTACAGTTCCCTCTCACTGCTTTACTCTTTTCTTAAGGAGCAGGCATGCAGCTATTCTAAGCTTATAAGCTCTGATAAACCCACTTTAAGTGCCCAACCCATTACAGTGCCTACCTGCTGCATATAGTGGAGCATTACAAAGCTAAAGAGCCAGATATCTCCCTTAGGAGTCATTGAAGACTTACACACAGCTAAAAATATGATGCTAAATCTTAGAATTACCCTCATTAGTAGGCCAGACACAGCATACACGTGAAACAATATGTAAAGCTTTTACATCTAGAGCTTTTTATGCTGTCCCTAAGTGGGGGAAAAATATAAATCAATTAAATGTCTTCTTAATGAGCCAATCATTTTCAGTATTGCTACCAAGACACATTAAAAAGAAGGGGTATAAGCCATCAAGGAGCAAAATTGGTATGGATAAAATGCATTGGAGTTGCACGCTGAATATTAATTCCAAACAATCCTTCTCTGATAGATCTCTGACTGTAGAGAGTTTATTCTGAGAAACTTCTACAGTGGCAAGGTACTTGGTATTTAGCATAACACTGTTTCTGTTGGATCCACAATTGACAGGAACAAAATCATTCTATACGCATCTTGGCTCTAAGGAAAAAGGAGTGAATTCCTGATGCCTTTCCATGGCTGAACAGGTTTACATATACAGTGAAGTTAAATATGACCCTCTAACCTCCACAGCGTCCCATTATTCCAGCCATGTGGAACAATCTGCATAAATTACTGCCTTTCTGTTAATTGGCCAACAAACTAGCTCTGTCATCATTAATTTGTATTGGCTGCTTCTCTGCTTTATGACTCATGTTGATGGAGTAATACAGAGTGTCAAGCACAACTTAAACACCTGACACAGCACTCTCAAAGGGCACTATAAAAAGTTTGGAATAGCATACAGATGACTAGAGACTGAAATACAAAGGCAAAATTTAGGCCAATAAGAGAGAGGAAAGACATGGAAATAAAGGAAATGACCAGTGGTGCTTATCTGTATGTGATCAGGGAGAAGTGTGATAAAGGAAGAAATTATCTCAAAGGAATTGTTAGTTTTGTTTTGTAACACTACAAATGGTTTACTGGCTTAACAACGGCCTTATACAGTAGAAGTCAGTGTGTACAGGTAGAGGGCTGCACTTCACATTCACTAGTAGTAAGGTGTGCCTCAGGGGTCAGTCCTGGGGCCACTCCTGTTCATTCTTTACATAAATAACGTTGTTTTCAATGTTGATTTTCATTTTTACCCTGACAACACTGTAATGTACTGCTCAGCACACACTCTAGACCAAGCTCTTACACACTTACAACTTGCTTTAAACACTTTTCAACAAAAAGTTGTAATTTAAAATGTGTTTATCTGCAGACAAAATGAAATCAATGCTGTTTTCAAATACAAAATCTAACCACTAAACCTGCCTTCGATCTTCACTTCTCAGGGTACACATTGATTGATTCTGTTCCTCGATAAAGACATATTGGTATTTTAATTGGTGAATTGCTCTCCTTTACACCTCACATTCAGCAGCTGGTAAAAAGGTAAAACTGGGTTTTTACATTAGACTCAAATCCTGGCTATCTAAAAAAAAAAAGAGTGGTTGCTGCCACTTTTATGTCTATGCTGGACTATGGAGATTTTTTATAAATGCACTCCCCGTCTTAAAACTTACACTCTCTGGACACTGTGTATCACAGAGCTATAAGGTTCATCACTTATTGCAATCCCTCACTCGTGATTGTTTGTTGTATGCATGTGTTGCATGGTCTTCTTTGTCCACACGCAGACCTAAACACTGGCATACAGTATTATTAGTCAATTTTAGGTCTGCTTCCTTCATAACTTCTGACCTTCATTAGTTTGTTAAAACAAACACAAACATTTTGTGTCTTTTAATATTTTATAATGATGTACCCTTTATGATATTTTGTATATATGGCTGCTTATTGTTTGTCGGAAAGTGTACTGCTGCCTGTTTTGAATAGATTTTTAATCCTAAAATGTTTTTCCCTGGTCAAATAATGGTCAAATAAAAATTAAGAAAAGATAAACCTTTGCAGTCATAGCAGACAGATGAAAATAAATAATATGTCAACCTCTCTTTTTGTGAAGTTATCAGTGCAGAAGACTGTCAAAACTGTAACCATAATAATATTGTCTTCCCCATTCCCTTGCTAATCATAACATTCTTCAGGTTACAGTTCATATTACTCTCTTGTTTACGTGTATCAGAGTATGTAAGAACAGATTTTCAACACTAAGGCCTGATGATGATCCGGCACAAAATTAGCTTTACAGAGAGAAAACTGGGGGCAACAGTTCCCGTTTCATTTGATCAGTAAAAGCCGCAATAAATCAAATTTTACTTAAGCATCACATGCCAGCACTCAATGCTCAGAGCCTGAAAGCGAGGAACAAAATGTCCCAGATTATAAAGCTTTTAAAAAAAGGATACACAAAGAGGCAGCAGAACAGCAATATCTCATTACAAATAAAAGGGTAGCATGTGTCCTGGAACAATACGTCTTTGTTATAAATCATCATAAATGATGGTCACTTAAGTCAAAGAGCTGATGTGTGGAATTGGTTATCTCTAATAATCCCAACACTGACACACAACTGTGGTGCGTCACATTTATGCTTTTTGTTTATGCTTTATTTATTATTTAAATTTGCAACAACAAACTGAGCCTTGTGTCTGACCATAACGAATCTAAAAGCCAATAGACGTATCTCTTATATATATATATATATATGGACCAATATATGGTCCATTTGAAATGTGAGATAAAAATTCATTTGATCAAACACACACATGCAGACATGATTCAGAAGGTGTTCATAAAATATTTGACATGGGTTGAATAATACTCTAATCCAGGGGTCCAGAGACATATGGTGGCTGGTCTGCTTTGATTGTTGGAGAAAATAGGCATGGAGCTAAACTGACACCTTGTGGCTGAACGGTGCTATTACTAAGAGAACTTTTATCAACAATATGTACCTCTCACCATTGATGCAGCTACACCTTTCATTCAGCTCTATACGTTAACAAACTCAACTCTACAAGTGAACAGCTTGGGAAATTCAAATTGTATTGGTCATAAGGTTTTTTAATTAACTATAACTGACCCTTTTTTCTAAGGATATTTTAAAAAGTCATGGCAAGAAATGTAGGCACAAATGATTTTTTCTACTATAACAGAAAAATCTATGGTTAAACTCCCACAAACCTACAAATCTTAATTTGCTCATAAAGTCACACAGATGCATGGTTCAGCATAACTGAATGATTCATGGATGAATGGTGTAACAGCTGGAAAAAGCCATTTTGTGGCCAGGGCAGCGGTGAATGTCCAAAATCTGACTGCACTATTTGTCCTTAATATTCAGACAACATACACTGCTCCTGCAGCAGGATGTCTCACGTTGAGAAACAGAAAATATCAGTCCTTAGTCCACGTTAAAGTGAATGAAAAGTGCAAAAAGATGGACTATGAAGTAAACTAAAAATTACACAGATAATAAAATGCCCTTTAGTTGGACAAGTAGCTGTGGTATTTAATCAGATCTCGTATTTTGTCATGAAAAGAACATCACCAATGATATAGGAACATATATTCTGTTGCAAACTACTTCTTGTTGTGTTACAAACATTTATTTCAAGTAAACTATATTTGTGGTGATAAAAAAACGGTGTCGAGTTAGTTTCAAAGCTTGCAACATAGGTGCAATCAGTGTTTTTTTCATCAAATATCTTAAGGGTGCATTTCTTTAATTAAAACTTAACATAGTATCAACTAGTTAAATCACAAAATGAAGTAATTTTATGTTTCAAATAGTGTTTATCTCCTCTCTTGAACTTTGTTTGTGACACAGGACATTAGAGAGGTGCTGCTGGTCGTCATCTTTCGGTCAAGATACTTTCAGTGTCCAGAACCAGGCCAGAACATGAAATCACATACACAATTACTATAATGTGTAAATGTTTTGGTCTTGGAGGAGCACTGAGTATCAGTCAGTACTCAAGTCTGTACATCAAATATGCAAGATGCATAGCTGAATGTAAAGTCTGCTTGTTTAACCCATTCATCAATATTTCAGAGATATTCAGAAACCTTTTTTTACTTCTTGATACTGACGATACAACCTAGACATGAGTATTGGCTGATAAAGAATATTCCTCCAATACCAGTGTCATAAAAAACATTTATAATATTGGTGAAAAAAACACTGTTGGCTGACATTATGATCATTGCACTCTTATTTTGCACAACACTGTTGTTAAGTGTAATTGTCACACAATAACTTACATTTACTTTTTAGACAGCATCCATGGTCAAAAACAAAAAAAACTCTACAATTACCACTTGCATAATACAACAGTGAAGAACCAATGTGCACTTAACAGATAGTGTCACAGAAGTAGGTCATGTTTTTTCAGGTAAAAAACTTGATTTGAATTCCAAATGAAGCCTGTCATCTATATGAGAGAAGTTGTGGTTATGTCACAGTTAAAGTTTTTGTGTCTTTTGTCAAAAATCAAAAATTAAATTAATAAAAAAAACAAAATAATTTGTTTTCAAATGGTAAAGTGTAAGCTGTAAGAAATGTTTGCTCTAAAAAAATAAAACAATAATGCTGACAGAGCCTGAAGGAGCTCATGTACACAACATGTGTTTATTGTTGATTACGCTCGAGCATGTGTGACAAATATTTTCAGAAGTTGGCAATTTGACACACTGTAGTGAAGTACAGATGAAATGTGCTTTTACTCACTATAGCTGTTGGAGCAGCAGCAACCACACAGTAGAGGATGAGGGGAGGGATGAAGCTGGACTCCTCTGTGCCAGGATACGGCTTCATGAGCTCAGCGTCATTACAGAAGAATCCTTGAACATGGACGCTGAACAGATCCGTGCACTCCATGTAGTAGGCCAACAACACCGTGCCGGACATGATGACGAGCTGGAAGAAAAACATTTTTGGAGTAGAGAAAGCAAGAGAGTAGAGAAAAAGTGGAAATAAAGGAGGAGAAGAAGAAAGAGAAGAAAAGAAGAAGAAGTGGAAATGGGGACTTGTTAGTTGTATATCCAGTGTGCTGAAGGTTATCCTGCCAGACTCAGTTTTCAGTGCTAGAAGTCAATTTATTTGAGGGACTTGCTCCTTGGCTGTTCCCTGAACATCACTCTAGTTCTATCTCAGTTGTACCAGGTTTTTACACAAAACATCCACATAAATCCTCTAAAACCTTCTCTTTTCCTCTCTCTCTCTCTCTCTCTCTCTCTCTCTCTCATGCACACTCGTCATGTACAAGCACCCCACCACCATCACTTACCACCTCCTCTCCTCCCTCACCCCCTCATCCTTTTATCCCTCTAACATCGTCTTTTGTCTCTGGCCTCCTTTCGCTCTCTATCCAGAATTGGCTGCAGGCGATTTTTTTTATTTTTTTTTATTTGTGCTATCCTTAGTCACTGATAAGAAACCAACACTAGAATATAAAATGTAAGACACGGCGAGATACGGCTTTTCATTCGGCTTCTATAAATGATCGTCATTTGTATAATTCTGCCACATATATAGTGATACTGCCGCCGTAGCTGGCACTGTGACTGGATTTTTATAAAAAGGAAAGTGATGGGGTTCTAGAACGGCTTCCAGCTGGAAGAAAAGCCCGACAACGTCATTGGAACTGGAAGGAGTAGGAAATCTTACTCATGCAAAGGCACTGAAAGGAAATATGAATTATAGTCACATGAATGATGCATTAGGAAAACAGCTAATCAGCTTATTTTTTTTCACTGTGAAAAACATTCAAATCAAAGAAAAAGAACAAAATATAAAATTCATTATCAATCTCACAGTGAAATATCCAGATTATGAAAAATAGATAAATACAGGGATGCGTGTCTGATTATCCCTTCACATTTAGTAGCTGAAGATGACAAATCTGCTAAATATTTCTAAACGTTGCATAAAAGTTTTAGTGGTATTATGAATGGTTCCTGACTTTCAACATGGTCATGTCAGCCATTTGTAATATTTCAACCAAACACTAGGTGTCCCCATGCTACTGCAGAAAAATCTGCATGACTTCAGGAGAAGAACCACACAATAAGGATATCACATTTCCACTGGACATTGATTAACAGCACTAACTTAAAAAGCTAACTATTGCATGGCAACAAAAGTCAACATATCTGATGGGATACAAAAAAATTCCAGCCTGCAAAATCCAGTCAACCAAAAAAGTTGTGACTGTGTTTGCAATCCAGCTAAACATATGAAAGTACTCTAAAGAATAACTTTTGCTTTGTGATGCTTTGTTCATTTACAGTGTATCTGATCGATTTGTTTTTAAGCTGTGGATTTTTATCATTTTCATCTTCTTAACCCCACAAGTACATTCATTGTGGGTGGTTTACTGTCTCCTACGGATTTCTACCTACCATAGCCGACAATTTTGTTTTATCACACTTCGGGAATGGGAAAAAAGTGGCACTTTAATCAAGAAGAATGAGGTTGTTAAAAATTCCAGAAGAGGCAAAGAAATCTACGACGGTCACATTAAAATAACTCTACCACTGAAGGAAATGTTGACTCACTTTGTGTGGGGGATAATGTTGTTTTCTTATGACACGATTCTTTCCAAGCATTAGCCACACTTGCTACGTGGATGATCTTGCTGACTATTTCCTGTGACGACGCTTTTACAGGCTTCATGCCTGACTGTCTGACTGACTGACTCAGTTACCAAACAGGGCTTAAGGCAGTTTACTATGTTACTACAACCCATAAATCGCAATATGTAAGACTATGTCAGACACCACAAAACTGGTAAGACATACTGGAGATTGGTTTGAATCAAACGTCAGTATGTCTTAATACAAATAAATTGTATTCTTATATGAATATGAAAATGGAGATTACGTGAACCACACTGGACAATATGTCTGCTGCGGTTCAGACAGAGATGGCGAGAAAGCAACGGTGTTTACCGAGGACGGGAGAGAAAAGTTGGCAGATCCAGCCGAGTGACAGATGGCCATGAGGAGATGTCCAGGTGTGTGTGTGTGTCTGAGTGTCGGTGTGTGTGGCGTGAGCTCTATTGGTTTCTGTGCCAACTTTTTAAATAACACAAAGCTAGTTAGCAATATTTTTCCTTTATATGATTAATCCAGATGAACCATGCCGGGGAGAACGTCACACATCTTCACAGTTCACCTGCATTAGCATCTTTTCTGCTTCAAGAAACCATACATGAATACTTGGCTGCACCCCAAACCTTCCCTCAGCAGGGTTATACTCAAAACTTGAGGCATACAACATATTCAGTAAATCACATGAGCAACAATTACATACATGGGTTTCAATAAGTCTAAAAATAATCCCCAGCTCGTCTTCAAGACAGCATGATATAGGATAATATCATGATTTCATGTTGTTCCACAAACAACAAGTTCCAGCAGGATAATCTGCTTAAACATTATGCACATGTCTTCCCTAAAAATATGCTAATTCCTTCGCTTGCATAAAAGCCATGTAATACCTAGTGGGATCACAAAGCTTTAGCTGTCATTACGAGAAAATACCTGGAAAGGGCACTTTAATAAGAGGGGTACACCAAAATACACACTATGCAGTTCATTATTAAAACTGTAAATTCAATGAATTTGACCTTGAGAATGTATTAGCATTTGGATAAAAGTGTTCCTGAAGCTCAGGAACAACATCAACCAGGTATGTGTTGTGTTCAGTCAGCAGCCTAAATAGTAAATGTTGCTGCTACAAAACATTGGTGTATTGGAAAGATCAAGATGTACTTATAGTATATCACTTATAATAATTCTCTTAGATCTTTTTGATTAATATTCCCTCACCCCCTCCATACACACACACACATTATTCTTCTCCACACTATACATCATATAAATAGTTATAATAGTTATTAGGCATTATGAGAGTCATCAGGCTGAGGCAAATTGCCAAAACTGGCCATGATGGACAAAAATTAAACTTGTAGAGCCTGATCTTACCCGTCTTCTTTTGTCTGACCTGCAGTCAACAAACATTGCAAGGTTCTGAGCCTGCTTGTTCTTCACTTTAAAAGAGTTCTGCCAACAACATTATTGAATAATAATAATAAAAAAAAAAGTTGGTGCAGTGAAATTCTGGAGGCTGGAAGCTATTTCTGTGATTTCTTTATGAGGTTGCATTGTGTGGCAGTTCTACAATTGGACAAGTGTCCCTTTCACAGTAAAGCATAACTTGTGGCTCCATTATATTCACTCCACAGCCAGTGTCACGCTGCATTAGCTGTGTGAAGGCCAGACTGAGGAGACTGGCTGTCGTAAAATGGTAATACAAAGTAACTGCAGCACACCATTATCCTTCTTGCTTGGAGGGCACGATTCTCCTTTTTTTTTTCTTTTTTTTTTACCCAACATCCTCGGCCATTTTAATGCAGCCATGTACCTCTGTTGCTTTTTTAACAAGACACACTTCTCAGCACCGTTTGGAATATTATATTACATCAAAGGAGTACGAGAATAAAATCATTTCATACAGTTACCATTTCTAAATTAATTACTTACAAGTTTCTGAGTCTAATAATCCCCAACTCTTTTTTTTTGTCCAGTTACAATCAGTGCTTTTCAATTAAAGCTGGAACAAAGCCCTGATAAACCCCCAAAGAGGTAGCAACAAGCAGGTGAGCAATGAGCATCGTATAAAACAGGCTTTCTCATCCTTGGGATCCAGATCCCATGTGGGGTCACGTGGCATTTAATGGGGTTGTCTGAAATGTTTATTTATTGATCAATAAAAAACAATTCTTGTATATTAAAATATATTGATCACAGGCTACTGTGGGCCAATTCCAAAAAAACAATAATTTACTATTATTATTTTACATGCAGAAACTTGAGGAGTGATGGGAGTTTATCTTTAACCCCCCCCCAGTAGGAGCCTACAGGTGAATGCTGAGCAAGAGTGCAGTACTACAGGTCAGAGCTGGCAGCGAAAAGATAAATCTTGCAGTTTAAATAGGCAGCTAATTGGAAGGAGGGGTTGTCAGGTGATTGTTCAGAATGAGGTATGTCAAGTGTGAAATCAGTGCAGCTTGAGTTGACTGCCTGAACTGGAGCGCAGCCATCGCTTCATACACGTACTCATACTTGCAATGCAGAAGAATAACTATTACACGATTGAAAACAATTTTGACCAAATAGCTCAATGTGTTTGGGATGTCTGGGGTCGCCAGAGTTGCGTGAAGTCAAAGTGGGGTCACAAGGCAAAAAAAAGGGTTGGGAACCACTTGTATAGAACATAGCATTAAGCAGCTAAAGAGGCAGATGTTTTATTCAAATGTGGGGAAAGAGCAATACAGAACTAAAAAGAGAGAGAAAAGAAACCATTAGTTCGATGTAGCTGACCTACATTCATGAGTTGGATGGAAAAACAACTCGTAAACTATGCCTACTGGATGTACAGGACGTGCTAACACTCGGATGCTTAACATACTGTAAGGGTTGTACAATATATCACACTTGTACTGCCGTAAAGATTCTACGCGTTTCAGTCAATGCAGGCGGTAAGTGAGAATAAACTTAGACTAGAATAGGTTATAAGTTTTGCTGCTACTAGTCTGACTTGGTCTGTTGAAAGCAGTTCACCAGGTTCCTTTAGCTAGTGTTTGCAACCACAGAAAGATAATGTAGTAGAACTGATGTTGTTGAGTCTACTGTCTTGGCATGTACCTGTGACCTAAGTGGCTATTTAAAGGCAAAAGTCACATAAAGAAGTCCAACTTTAAAAACATACATTTGCTCTTCTTAGAGAGAGATTAAAAAAAAAAGAACACTTTGGATTGGAAGCTTGTTGTGGCTAATGCAAGGAAAATGGAAATGTAAGCAAACCATAGAAAGATGCTGTATGATAGATATTAATGAGTCAGGTTGAAGACT